ACATTCAGATTGAAGGCGAAACGTCACAAGGCTGTAAATATCGCGGCTTGAATTATTGTTATATTTGAGCTATTACTGCAATAATAATTGCGAATATTATGTGACCATATTAGTTTTTTGTTCTGCAGAAACATCGACATCATTGACTTAAATCCAAACAAAAAGTCCACGCAGTAAGGACTTCAGAAACTTTTCCTGAGTGTTCTGCAACATCAGGCACATATTAAGGATTGGATAATTTATGTAAGAGTCTAGTGCTGACAGTCATGATTGTAAACTAGGACTCAATCTGACTAACTGTGTAATGTAATGCATAGAGCAGCCCCTCAGGAGTGGACCAGGATTAAAGCAGGAAACTGTGTGTGACCTGATCTGATCTACCCTAAGAGACTGAAGAGGATTATAAAGACTTTTGGACGGAAAGACTTCCCAAACTGGATCAGAGAAAAAAAACACAGTACATGTGAGGTCAAAGCAAATCCGTCATTCAATATCTTTGACGGCCAATGCACATTATTCTATTTTATTTTTTAACTGGTTATGAAACAGATTGAAATTAATACTGATGTGTCTTTATGACCTACAAATGCAAACAAGATGTTAGATAATACATTTTTAAAAAGTATATATATTTTTTTAATGCCACCAGGTTGCTGTCATACAAGGTGAGTAATAGCACAGAAACCAGATAAGCCTTTCTTGACATTCTCCAAGGAAAAGGTTCAATGTGAGTGATACATATATTCAGTATAAAGCCAGCAGGAGAACCTTTGTTTGTAATTTAAACAGTTTATAAATGATGGTTCCTCTTTGACCCTCTTACAGTATTTCAAAATGTTTATTAAATTTTGTAGTCTGTGATGCCCCAGTAGTGTCATCAGGTAATGTTTTCATTGCATTGTCATTGTGGTCAATCAATCATTATTTGTATAGCTCCAATTCATAACCAGTGTTATCTTGAGACACTTTACAAAAGAGTGTATGGGATAATATGTTGGAAGGATGAATTAATAAAATATTTGGTATATAATTAATTAATTTTTCAGAAGAATAAGGTGGAGACAAAGTAAAAAATAAAGGATTATTATTGTCTTGGAGGTGCGTCTATAACTTGTGGTCTCAATGCAGCTTATTAATTAGAGTTACACAGCACACCTGGGACCGGTGGGTTGAAGCACACACACACACACACACACACACTCTGCTCTGACCTTCGCCACAGGTATACTGCATTTTGGTTTGAGAATAATAGTCTAAGTTCCCTTTGTTTTTGCTATGTTAGCATTTCACAACCTACAACCTTGCAACAACACACACACTTACGCCACTCATGCACATCACACACCACTCACTTTACTGACATCCACACCTCTTACTGTCTTACACTTACTGTACCCATCTCTACATTTGCTTCCACTTATTCGAGGTCAGGTAGCGCTGGCAGCAGGCGCAGTAGATCAACCAAGACTTCCCTCTCCCCAACAACGTGTTTCCGATCCTCATGGGGGATTACGAGGCGTTACCAGACTAGATGGGATATATGTTCCCTCCAGCGAACTCTGGGTCTGCCCTGGGTCTCCACCCAGTTGGGCGTGCCAGAAAACTTCCAAAGGGAGGCATCCAGGAGACCTCCTAATCAGATGCCCTAACCACCTCCTTCCGGCAGAGAACCTTGGCCTCGGACTTGGAATTGCTAACCCTCATCCCAGCCGCTTCACACACTGCTGCAAACAGCCCCAGTGCCTGCTGGAGGTCCCAGCATGAGGAGGCCAACAAAACCACATCATCTGCAAAAAGCAGAGATTTAACTAGGTGAAGATAATATTAAAGATATAAGTCATTACTCAACATCTCCCAGCAAAACCAATATTAACAGCATTAAAAACTTTCTTTTGATATCATGGATATATGATAAATGCTTAAATGGCTTTCCATAATGAAACACAAACTGCACTTCTCAGGGGAATTTTGTTTGTAATTGTCACTTTTTTAAATGGGATCTTTGCATCAAAAAAACTATGCTGTCATACCTTTTCTGCAAAAGGTTCTGGGACCAAAAGCACCCTGATCTATTAGCATTTCCTTCATAAACTCGTTTCTTATTTCTCTGTTTCAGTCCCGCCCTATGGCGTGCAGGCTCTTTTAACTCTCACATACAAAGTGGGCAGGTGTGGCCCATTAAAAGTTTTCCAAGTTGAACACGATCAACTAGAGACACGCGACGATGCAGTGAGCTCCTTTCGGCTGACATGAGAATTAGAAACAGGAAGACTAAAACAAGGTCAGTGAGTCAATATTAATAGACATAATCACTTTGTCATTCCTCAGAGAGGACGGCACACACGTCTCTCTGAACCACACATCAGTCAGGCAGGATGTGATTTTTTCCCACTCAGTAACCTACATGCAACCACTGTGAATGTGAGGTACATTTTAAATCATTCATATGACCTCTGTTTTATTTATCCTCTTTGGCATGGTGACTATTCTTACATACAGTTGGAGATGCCTGCAGCTGATGGGTGTCCTATGTAGGTTACAAGCCCATTACACAGTGAACACTGCATGGCTGCACACGCTTCCCCTCGGGAATCCATTACACGGTATACGGTACCCTCTCTATGTTTTTCTCACTCCTGTTTAATCAGAAAAAACACACATACATACATGTTATCACTGGTGCCTAATGGGGATAAAACCAATGTTAATTGCATACTTTAAAGAAACAGTTTGAAATGTTTGCTAAGTGTGACTATTATTTTTTTTTTCAGGAAGGTTAAACAGAATATCTACATCAACATTATATCTTCATGGTTAATATGTAGCCTGAGCGTGTGGCCAGTTAGCTTAGCTTAGCATTAACAATGAGCTTAGTGATAAACCCGGATTATACAAACACTAGTTGGGAATCTGATTTTTGTGCTTGTTATATCACCGGACTTTGGTTCTGTCACATTCTCTGATTGTTTGTGTACAGGTCACCATGGCGACTGAAACGGAGAGTACTATATTTGAGTTGGAGCTGATAAATATTGAGCAGCAGTTGATCATACTGGCTTGTAGCGTTCCTCCTTCTGCAGATTTTTTTTTAATGGCGGCGATACCGGAAATGTTGTAAATGCACAGTTTCGTCTGCCTGTTGTAAATACAATTTTTGTAAAAGTGAAAACAAGAAAAATGATGTAATCATTAAGTTTAACAAGTGCTGGTTAGTAAATTTTGGTGATATTCAACCCTCTACAAAACCAGAATAGTCCCATAAGAGGATTTCTTTTCAGTATCTTTTTCTGTGTCAATGTAACAGTAGCAATGATTCCAATTCCCCAGTTGCCATTATTTGTCAAAATTTGACACTATTTTACCAATAACTTTTGTTTTTTTATAACTTGAACACTCTTTATTACGTGTCATGTAAGCACTTTTAGTACGAAGCCACAGCTAGATTTATTGTTTTTAAATGTTAATAGCTAGCATGGGAGTGTAGAATCCAGGAAAGGATTATTTTCCCCTACAGAACGCCCCACCCTCAACACAACGTGGACTGTAAGCATAGAATTATTTAGCTATTACCCACTCCTGTGTGCATAGCTGTAAGCAAGCAACCACTGGCTTTAGCTCCAATTTATATAAAAGAGAGCCACAGCAATCTTCTGACTTTACGCTAAGCAAGTTGACCACTTTACCCGAAAGGACTTTTCTTTAAACATTGTTATAACCCCAACAAAATACTTGTTAGTACCATTACGGCTTATGGCTACTTGAGCCTATAACTAATTTTCATTTAATCTCATATTTAATAAATTTAGTCTACCTTTATTATCTTTGCTGTCCCTGTTTTTGTTTTTCATGCTTCTGCTCTGTTAGCCTTTGAATTGCCCCTCAGGATTAAATACACAGCACACACTTTCTTTAACACAAACAAGAAAGTCTCATTAAACAAGAATGAACAGATGTTAAGATATGTGCAAGTTCAACAAAGAGCACTATAAGTGAGTGTGTAGGAGTGTGTGTATCATCACCCCTCTTTCCCTGCATCGACCTCACTGCACAGAAAAGAATCACAGCTTGTGTGTTTTTAAGGGTTGTCACTTTAAAAGCTTCTGTGTTCTCACAGTTCGGGGGCATCTTTCACAGGAACATCCTTCACAAATTATTCATGTTTGTTTCTTTCAGGAGAACGATGAGGGGAAACAGAGTGCACAGTGCATCCACCATGAAGCACAGCTGACGGGTGCTAATGTGAGTCGGTTACATAATCCCATTTATAGAGATCCACAGCACTCCTGACCTTCAATAGGTCCCTCCGTGGAAGGGAATAGAAGGAAGCCTAATGGCAAAACTGCACATCCTCCCCTTCTCAATCTATGATATAGATATTTGACGTATATGTTGTTAAATTATGTGAAAATCCTTGTAATATCTCTAGTTTACATTTAAAGATTTGATTGATAATACATACAACATCAGATCTAATCTAACTTCTATAAATGCATAAGCACATGCAAAGACATTTTGGTCGTGGAAGCACTTTGATCTCCCCTTGTATGAGTGTTTTTCTTTATTATGTTACTGCAGGCCTTGGTTGTAGGCAGGGAAAAGTGTGTGTAGGAATTTAAAAACAGGCGACAAAATAAACCACTGACTGTCGTCTGACACACATTTAGCTTTTTTTATTAACAGATTTCTGCAAAAATGTGCCATCCCAACTCCATTCTTGCATCAAAAGCAGCTTGGCAACAAAAGAAGAAAGACTTAACATCAATATTTAAGTCTGAATCAGCTGGCTAGAAGCCCCCCCAAGAGTCTAAAGCCATGAGGTGGTAGCTGATGGGGCAAAGAGATGACTACGTATTTGAACTGATTCAAACTTAACAATCCTACAGGGGAGTTTTTTTTACAACTGTTTCTTAACATAGCTTGACTAAATGAAACAGAAAATATTACTCTTTTGGTTTCTTTCTTATTTCATTTGACTTTTTTAAGCTATTAATGATCCTATTATGAAATGAAGAGGTAGATTTCACATTACATTTTGCAAGCCCCCCAAAAGAATTGTAGTCCATCTGGGGTTAATATCCCTGAGAACAAAGTACAGTAATTATTACAGCTTCACAATTTTACAAGTAAAAATAAATAAATAGTCTAGTGATCTGTCTTACCACCACTGATGTTCTGTAAAGGAAAAAAATGGCTTAATGTTTTTTTCATATGCCTGGTAAAATGGATTATGGGTATCACTTTGTTTTTATTTAAATATCTTTCTCTTAATGTAGCCTTTCGTTTGTTCACATGTTTGAAATGAGAGGTGAATCCACCTTGCTCCAGTGCTTCTATTTCTGCAGATGCCTGTTTGAATGAGCTTTTCTTTTGCATGTTTGTAGGCCTAATGCACCTGACCCCACACACACACGGGCTTGAAATAAATAGTCACTCATATCGGTATCTGCGTCAATCTGTCTTTGTCTTTACTCTCCTCAGTGTCAGTCACCTGCTCCGAGTTGGTCCCTCTGTGATAAAGCACAGTCACCATTGTGTTCCCGCTGTCATCACTCCCTCTGGCTTGCAGGGCACAGGAGACGCTCACCTTCGCGGTCAGCGGGCTCTCGTGCTTCAGCTGCCCGGCCTCGTTGCTTGCCATCGCCGTCTCCACCGCTGCGCTCATCGCTGCGCAACAGCCTCGTCCGCGGCAACGCAACAGGCGCAGGAAGGCGTCTCTGAAGTCCGCGTTCAACGCATAGATGATCGGGTTGAGAGACGAATTGCTCCAACCGATCCACACAAAGACGTCGAAGGTTTTTTCACTGACACAGTAAGGGCCTCTCTGTGCCCCCGGGGTCTCTGGTCCGGGACAGAATGGCAGCGCGCAGTTCAGAACAAAAAAGGGCAACCAGCAGCAGACAAAAACACCCATGATGATGCTCAAAGTTTTGAGGACTTTCGTCTCTTTCCTGATGGACACTCTGAGCTCCCGGTGTGTCTGACTAGAGCGCTGAGAATCTGCATGTAGACGGATATGAGACTGATACGAGTTGGCGTCTATTTCCATGCACATGTGAGGGAATTGTTCAAGTACCTCCGAGCGGCGACTCTGCGCGCGCTCCGCCGCACGCTCCAGGGAGGAAATCATCCGGATCTGCATCTGGGCTATCTGATAAATACGCGTGTATGTGACAATCATTATGGCCACGGGGATGTAGAAGCTGATGAGAGAGGAGGAGATGGCGTACGTACGACTCAGACTTGAGTCACAGCTCCCGTCAGAAGACTTACCGTGAAGCGCATCACCGAGCTCCGCCCGGTGCCAGTTGAGCTGCACAGGAACGAAGGATATAACCACGGAGACTGTCCAGGTCACCCCGATCATTACAGAGGCCACCTTCTTGTTCATATTCCTCTCGTAGCGGAACGGACTAGAGATGGCCCAGTACCGGTCCACGCTAATGACGCACAGGTTGAGGATGGAGGCCGTGGAGCACATGATGTCGCAGGCCAGCCAGGTCTTACAGAATTCTCCAAACGGCCAGAAACCGGCAACTTCAGCCACAGCTTTCCACGGCATCACCAGCACGCCAACCAGGAGGTCCGACAGAGCCAGAGACACGATGAAGATGTTGGTAACTTTTGCGCGCAGGTGTCGGTAGCGGTAAACAGCTGCGCAAACCGTGAAGTTGCCCAAGAGCGTCCAAATGATGAGCAGCGCCAAGAGGCAGCCCGTCAAAGCTCGGTCCGCCGGTAACTTCTCCGGTCTGCCGGCTCCTAGGAGTGCCAAGCCGGTCGTGTTAATCATTTCACTGTCCTGTGCCCCGCCATATTCGAACTACACGGACAAGAAGGCGATCCATTTGAACCATAAGCAAGGAGGCGAAGAGTCACTCATGGTGTGGAGCGTGCGTGCTGCTCCATTCACACTGATCTGTGCTGCAGCTCTGAGCGGACAGCAGATTTACAGACCACATGCACCACCAGCTGGTTCACTCACTGCTGCCACAGACGCACAGAGCCGGGGGATGTTTGCATAAGAGAAGAGGAAACATGCCAGGTCACCACTTGTATTCAGTTGATATAACTCTTAATCAAGTCTTATCTCCTCCCAACTATACTGAAACTGAAGAGCTGTGCAAACAAATAATCAATAAGTTGATGAAGATCGTTGATCAGTTTCATTTCATGATAAACAGTAAAGATGAAAATTATTCCTGTTTAGGGTTTATGATGGTTTTCATAATAGATTAAACTGGGTCAAGTCATTATAAATCAGATTTTGCACCTGCTCATACCACTTTTAATTAAACATGAAAACATGACCAAGATTACAAATCCCATTTACAAGAGTGTCCTGGCCAAGACAGGCAAGCAGCATGTTAAAGAAGTTACAGACATAAAACACAGAGTAAATCCTTATACTTCATTTTCCTGAACAGAAAAATGGCTGGAAATAACTTCTTTTAACTGACATTAATCCACAAACAGCAAGAAAATATTGCAACACATTGAAATGTGAAAAGCCTCCACCCTGAGGCTCAGTGGTCGTCTCTCAACCTGAAGGTCGGTGGTTCGATGCTCCTGCAGCAACATGTCCGATGTGTCCTTGGGCGAGACGCTTAACCCCAAGTTGCTCCCGCTGTTTCATCGGCAGCGTGTGAATGTGTATGAAAGGGATTAGTTACTTCTGATAGACACTTAACACAGCAGCCTCTACCAATGTGTGACTGTGTAGGTGTGACCTGCGGTGTAAACGCACCTTTGGGTAGCAGGAAGACCAGAAAAGGGCTAAACAAGCCTGAGTTACCATTTATCATAATCTACTGCTCGAGTAAAATAACGGTGGCATCGAGTGATGACATTCTCTACAATATAAGATAATTTAACTTGAGCCTAAATTATTTGGCAGGTTAATTATCTTTGGATTTTGTTCATGACAAAAAAAAAACGGGTAAAAACAAACTCACATGCATTTCTAGGCTTTACACTAAGCGGCAACCTCTGGTGTTGAAAAATGAAGCCGATGCAAATGTGAGAAATCGTGCAGGTTGTCCAGGGTCCGCTTGAGGCTCCAGGAACCCCAGAATGTACATACACACCACACATTCAAAAAAGCCTTTTTTACAGCATAAACAAACATGTTTACAGCCTGGTGCAAAAATGATATTGGTCTGATTTGTCAATGTCCTCATAGGCACACATAGGGGGTGATTTTTATTTTTGATAACGCATCTGCATTGTTTTGCTGAACAATATGTGTTGTCCAGGTGCGTAGCTGACCTGATTGACAGGAGGGTGCGATGTTATGGTTTCTCAGGAGGCTTAAAACCCGCCTCAGCTCCAGCTCTCAGCCTGTCGTTAGGATGACTAAAAGTTCGGGTGAGACAGGATTTCCAGCATGGAGTCTGCCATCGATGGGACTCTGAAGCCCCCTGCAGTAAGAGACAGGTCGGCTTCATCCATTAATATTTACACTCTATGCTTTACAGCTACTACGAGCTAGGTTTAATATTTCAGCAGTAAATGTAAAACTCTGTCGTAAATTTGAAATTATGTATGACCAAGGCTACGTGTGAACTTACACATAGCTGGTGGATCTCAGTCTATATGGGAAAAAAATCTACCAGGATATATTTAAAGGTAATAAAATGAGCCTCAGCATGCCCAATAATGAGTTATCCATTTATGCTGTGTTACGTATCACCACTTAAAAAACCTTCAGACAGAGCTAAGCTAGCTGTTTGCCCTCATTTCCTGTCCTTATGCTCAATTAAGCTAAGCTTGTTTTGCTGGGTTGCTAGCTGCTTAAAAATATCTGTGCAGCCATGACTGTGGTATCAATCGTCTCATGAAACATTTAGAATGAAAGCAATTAAATAAATGCTTTCCTGATATATCAAACTATTACCTTCAATTTTGATTTACAGTATAAAGTTAACAGAAGCACTGCCCAACAAAACAACACTGCAGCGTACTGTAGTGCGCTCTAAATTTAATGCCCTTCCTACCCACAAGTCTCTCCCTCACACTCACACACACACATACACTCACACCACATATAAAAACACATTCTCAATAATATGGGACACCATCCTGTGGATAAACCTTTTTTTCAGGAACAGGACCAGATGGGCACGGCTAAAGTTGGACTGTCGGTGAGGAACACTGACACGACACCTGAGCAACATTTGATCTTTATTAAAGGCAACAGGGTTTTATTTGAATCCAGATTTAGATGATGAAGACAGAGACACGCAGTTCATGGCCCAGGGCGGGGAGGTGGGAGGGGGGGTGGGGAGGAGGGGGAGGAGGGGACAGTAATCAGATTATCTCTGTCGTTTTTGAGAGTTTGTGCTATTTTCGTGCATTTGCTGATTTAGGACACACTGGAATTACATCCATTTGTGGGAATGAAAATGCTTTCACATGAGCTTTAATGACATATTTTCCCCCCTCTAACTCTGAGCTAATTGCTTAATCTAATAAATATGTAAAATCACAATAATTTTAGTTTTATATTCCTGAGTGATTGACAGCTAGAAGTAGAGCGGTGCACCCACATAATAATATTTCTCCACATTTTGCTTAATAACGCTTTAAACTCAGTTTGACCTATTTTCAATGTCGTTTTAACGCATTTAGAGCAATATTTGTTTTTGTCATGTAACATGTATTATAGATGATGTCACTGTTAAATCTACATTTTAAAGGTCACATATTATCCTCCTTTTCAACCAGTTTGAATAAGTCTCAGAGGTCGGCCAAAACATGTGTGTGAAGTTTCTTGTTCTAAATCCACTCTGATCCTGTATTTGATCATGTCTATAAACCCCTCTATTTCAGCCCTGCTCAGAACAGGCTGTTTCTGTGTCTGTACCTTTAAATATGTAAATGAACTGTGTCTGACCACGCCCCCTCTCTGGAAGGTCTTGGGTGGCTCGGGCTTTCTTGCACCATGTCCTATTGTTTACGGTGAGAAGGCAGACTCAGAGGGCAGAACAAACACCTAGCTGTGGGAGTGTCACCCACCTGGGGGAGGGGCTACTGCCCTTTGTGATGTCATGAAGGGAAAATCTCCAAACGGCCTGTTTGAGCACACATTTTCTGAACAGTGGAGCAGACAGAAGACGGAGAGGATGTCATAAGGACCTGGAAAAGATGTGTCCATGCATTTATCTCCAGTACACCTAATAACTGTAATATCGTCTTTACAGGTCACCAGTAAAAAATCAGTTGACACAACGGCAGCTGAATGAGAGCCCTGCTTCTTTATTCCTCACTAAGACCAAGAAAGTGGATCACATTACTCTAGGTCTAAGGTCTTAACATTGGCTTCCTGCCACACAGAAAAAATATTTCTTAATACTCTTGTTTGTGTGCAAAGTGCTGAATATTTCATTATGGACCCTCTGATGCAGTACAAACCATCCAGATCACTCAGGTCATCAGTGACAGGTCTGCTGTCTGTCCCCAGAGTCAGGAGAAGCAGCGATCAGTTTCTATTCTTCATGCATCTCGAGCAAACTGCCAGAAGGACTCACATGTTTACATCTGCCTTTTATTATATTATTTAAATTAATTGTCTTGATACAATATAACTATGTAAATCATAGTTTAACTTCTGTTTTTCCTGTTATTATTTCTTCTTCTCTTTGATTTTTAAAGGTTTGTTTTAATGACTATTTCTCTTTTTTTAATGACTATGATTTCTTTACCCACCCTTTGCCATGATATGTTTGATGTCATGTGTTGTTACTGTACTTTAACTAAAGGTTTAACTAAACCTTGTCTTGCCTTGTTTTTTTAAGGGTTTTGGACATGGACCACGTTGTTTTGTTCATTCATTCACTCATCGGCCAGTAACTGTATTCTCTGCGATTGTAGCTTCACTGCCCTCTAGTGGCTATTTGGGGAATTGTAGTGTGTAGAGAAATTAAACCAGGCTAATTCACCCCTTGTTGACTTACTGCTGAACTGTGCGTGACAAGCTCACTGGTTGAAATGACTGTAATGACTTCAATATTCATGAAAAGACAGATCTACTGCTTCTAAGTTATTTGGCATTAACACTCTCAGCCAACAAGATTACTGTGGACCCTCTGCACCCCGCTGTCTGAGTGTGAATTAGGAGAACTAAAAGAGGCGTCACATCCTTTGTACCACGCAGCATTCAACTGCTCAACAAGCTCTGATCATAAAGTATGAACTTGCTATTGAAATCCGTACATGTGATCATGTGATGTTGTAATCATATATATATATATATTTTTTTTATGGTTTTGTTGTTATGTGCTGTCCTGTTTTTGTCAATTTTTGTCACTTGTATTGTGTTTTTCTGCTCTGGATGTGAGGAAAATTCCCCTAGGGGCAATAAAGGTTTCATTCATTCTGTGTTAAGGCCAAAACTGCACTTTAACAATATTGTAAAGGTTAGTGCCAAAGTCATACGTCCCCAGCCAAGCAGCCTCACTGACCTGTACAACAAACATGTTCTGCAAAATGCAAAATCCCTCCTGTCAGACAGCGCTCACCCCCTTCACTTTGAATTTCAGTTACTTCCTTCTGGTTCTCTGTTCAGATGTCCCTCTGTAAAAAAAAAAAACAATAGATACAGGCAGCCTTTTTTCCCCCAGTGCCATTCCTCTCCTTAAATCAAGTCAGAAGGGAAAATAGTTGTACAGTGAATATGCTGTTGGTACCAATGATGCAGATGCTATTGATGTGTGTTTTGTATCTGACCTTGGCAGTGTTGCTTCGGTCCATTTTTGTTGGAAACACTGTCAGCAGTTACTCTCTAATATTATTGGGGTTTTGTACGGTATGTATTAAACTGTGTTAATATGTGCACTTTTATTTCTAGTGATGAATATCAGCGACCCGTTATATTCTTGTTGACTCAGCACTTTATTCTGTGTGTAATGGAAGCTGCTAAGAGCATCAGTCAAGGATCGCTGTTTCCTCAGTGCCTCTTTCTTTTTTTTACCTCATTAGCTTTTTTAATGTGTGTCATCTTTTGTCTTTGTCTGTCCTTTTAATGCCTTGCTGCAATGCCATGTTTGATACTGTTGGAATTATATAATTATCTAGGGAAGTGGTTCTCAACTGGTCTAACCTCAGGACCCATCAATCAGATGTATTTAATTAAAGGTTGTGCAGTTTGGACCTCAGACAGAACAAAACATTTAAAAAAAACTTACTTAAAAAATTTACTATTGCTCCGCTACCCACATTTTAGGTCCCAACCCACCAGTTGAAGCTACTGATCTAGGGTATAGTAGGGAATATATGAATTATTATTATTAGTTAATTTTCGTAAATATTGTTGAATATTGACTGTGATTATATCTGTATGTTACTTTAAAGATTTGTTGTTATTATGTAAGACTTGTGTAATCATGTGATCAAGAGACAGGAAGTGAAGTGTATTGTTGTAAGTTAATAAAAAAGTTACAGCCTAGCAACACAATAGTTTTACCATGGACATAGCTGACTCTTAAAATAAAATAAAATAAATAAAATATTGTCATGTGGTCACTCTAGGATAAGAAAGAAGTATGTTTAAGAAACAGAGGATTTATTAAGAAGACAGAAGATACCTACTACATTAATATTTATATAACAACATTTGTTGTGAATTGGCATTCTACAAATATTAATTTATTCCTTGACTGATTGAATTGTGTTTCATTTCTTCGCCTTACATGTTTTCCCATGATGATTAGTGAGAGGCTCACACAGGATTTGCCCTTGTCTCGATCACTCGTGAGGTTGTTTCATAAGTGTTAAAGGTTTCATTGCCGGAGCTCCGCATGTAACTGACTCTGGAAAAACAGCAGCATCTGGTCACCTGAAAAAGTAACGTATGTAATGTAATGCCTATAGGTGGATGTCTGGCTGTTAGCTCATCAATAATGCAGAGTCCATGCATGTTCGAGGCCTAGATTGCCTTACCGCTCCACCGCTCCGTTACACATGCAAGCACACCTGACGTTAACTAACCGAGAGGCTTTAATGAAGTTCTGCGTTTGTGATTAATGGATGATTCGAGCGCAATGACCTTGTCCTCGTTATGTCAAAACAGAAACCAACAAAGTACCTATAAACCACAAACACATACACACAAACACACACACACACACTTGCAACACAATGCTGACATAACAAATATAAGTTCTTCACAGTAAAAACAGTTCTGATTTCCCTGGTGTTGCGTCAAAGTAAAAATTGGGATAATCAAGCGACACTGAGGTCCAGGAAGGAAGTAAGGTGATAGTGATCATAAAGATCATGAGGGGGTCTGTCAGGAGGCCTTGGCGATGATGAGGATGCTCATGAGGAAGACCATGACGAAGAAGATCCACATGAAAAACCTATCCATCACCTTGGCGACCTTCTTCCACTCTGCGGCCTTGACACAAGTCGCCCTCTGCTCGCGGAAGTAGTTGGCTATGAACTGGATGTTCTTCACCACCTGAGGAAGAGACGAGACAGGTCAACTTAAACTGTGGACAAATGTTCAATATTACAATTGCCATCAAAACGTCTGCACCAGAGAACCTCATTTGATGATTTGATAGCTCTTGACCCTCGTTTGCGATTGGGCCGTTGACACTTTACTCAAGAAGGGGTCAGATAAGAAGGGAGAAACTGTGTGTGTGTTATGATGCACCTCTTTATGTTCCACACATGGGCAGCAGCAGGGGCATGCTGGGACTTGAAGTTTCTCTGTGGAGTAGAGGAGCTGCTCTTTCAGCCCTCCGTTCAGGTGCTGGAGGTTTGGAGGACGAGGAGGGGCCTGGTAGTCCAATTCGTCCCTCCCGATGTGGTGCGTGTGCTCTCTCCTCCCCTCCCCCCTCTCCAGTCTGGAGGCGTGGTTGCTGTGGTTGTTGTAGTGGTGACGCCCTTGTTGCCGTTGGCGTTCGCCTGGCTTTTGTGACGCTTGTTGTGATGACTCACGCCATTGCCGTTGCTGTACCTGTAAGGTTCACTGTCATAACGGTAGTCGTGGAAATGGTCATCCTGGAAGCCGTCATCATCGCCCAAGGGTTCCTCGGGGTACAGTGGGGTCTTATCACACTCTGGCGTGGTGCAGTTCTCCCCCACCTCGTAGACAAAGAATATTTTGGACATGTAGTCTATGATGAGCACCTTCGCCCAGTGAGGGACCGGCTTGGCTTCAGCGCCGCAGAAATGAATGTTCATGATGAAGATGGTGAGCGAGGTGGAGGCTGTGATCATCGTCATGGTGGCGATGTAATACTTCCCTAAAGGAGGGGACAAAGAAAAGGAGACATGCATGAAAAGAGGAAGGTAGCATACACAGCAGCACTCATTTATTGGCCTCCTCTTTCTGTGTCTCTATTGATTGAAAGTTAGGTTGAGATAGCATTTCCAATATGGCAACCTTCAAAACATATAAAAAAAACCAATGGATGCTGTTACCAATATATTATTTTAATTAATTAAACTGAACACCAATAATGACTCAGACCTATATAGGGCATGCTCTCTGCAGGCGGCATGCTCTCAGCCACCAACAGCTGGAACACGGTGAGCGCCAGCAGCACCGTCACCCCGAGGGAAACCTTCTCCCCCGAGTCTGCCGGCAGGTAGAAGCCCAGCGGGGCCAGGAAGGAGATGAGGAAGCAAGGCAGCAGCAGGTTAAAGATGTAGAAGGAGGAGCGACGCTTCAGGTGCAGGGTGTAGGTGATGTCAGTGTAAGGGTCGGAGCAGCAGCCGTACATCATGACGTTCCTCACTGCAGGCATGCCGTGACACTCCCACTCCACGTTCTCCACAAAGTCCGACAGGTCTCCGCTGTCCATGCCCAAACTGATGTCCACCTGTGGAGAGGACACACATGAAAACGTCAAACACAAAACAAAAACACAAAAAGAATATTTCTCAGTTGCAGCTTAAAATTCAGCTGCGAGACTGCTGATGAGGACCAGAAAGAGAGCACACATTACATCGATTTTAAAGTCTCTGCATTGGCTACCTGTTTGTTTTAGAATTGATTTTAAGATTATCTTATTGGTTTTTAAATCTCATAATGGTCTTGCTCCCACCTATTTATCCCATTTGCTTTTTACTTATGAGCCCACCAGAGCCCTCAGGTCTTCTGGAAGTGGTCTTTAAAGGCTTTATATGTGATTTTTTTTTTATCCAGCAGATGTCGCCCTTGAGCACCAGCATGAAACTAAAACAACTCGCGCTGCATTGTTGTGTTAGCATGCTAATGCTAGCGATCTTTATTATGCTCGTATCTTCACACTGCATGTAAATTTACCTGAAATGAGCGTGATCTAGAAACACAGTTAAGCAGTGAGTACAGTATGTTATTCTTCTTTTCTCTAGTCCCTCAATTAAACAACTTTTATACGCGAGGGCAGGAGTCAGCCGGCCGTCCCGACGATGTAAACAAACTGAAGATAGGACTCTGAAAACTCTGAAAGCATCACAGACAGTGGGACTCGGGTGTTACACCCATTGTAGACAGTCATGACTCACAGAGGTATTTTCAGAGGATATACTGTATTTCTGCTACATTTAAGTGTGAAAAATTGCATATAAAGCCTTTATGTTGTTCCACATGTCCAAACTAAAACCTATACGGTATATCTTTTTATTACAATGGCCCCCGTTTGTGGAACAATTTACCTGGAGACCTGAGGGGAGAATACAATGTAAACATTTTAAAAGCAAACCCAAGACCTACATTTTAAGTCTAGATTTTAACTGAATCTCATTTCATCTAGTTGTATTACATTTTTCACCTGTGTTTCCTCATTTTGATCTTGAACGTGGAATCTGCAACTTTCGGTCGTTGGACATTTTGCAATTTGATGTTCCCAAAGTGAGAGCTTTGTTGGGAAAAAAAAGGTTTTGGGTTTTCTTCACCTGTTGCTTGGAATAACTAGCAGAATGCAAAAACAGTTACCCTGAATATTTTCAAACCCTTTAGTGAAGAGTCTTGAATCCAATCTTTCAGTATGCAACTGTTTTAGCTGATGGTTTGATCATATAGTTTAATGTTTGCTGTATGAGTTTCAGTGTTTTGTTCTTGGCCCTTCAAAAAGAGATATCTGATCTCAACAGGACTAACCTGGATAAAATAAAGGTTTAAAATTTAAAGTTAGCCTAATGGCATAATGGCATAAAGTTAGCCTTAAGGCATAATGGTGGACTGTCCTCGCAAGAGTGCGACTGAAGGAGGTCCGGTATTTGTGTTTGTGCTACAAATCAGAATAGAGATCAGTCCTACAAATGGCTGCACTCGGTCAGAACAGGAGGATGCGTGACATTAAACACACCTGGTTGCCGTTGTAGGTCCAGGAGCCGAAGGTGAGCTTGCAGTGCTGCCAGTCGAAGGGGAAGTAGGAAACATCCACCACACACGTGCTCTTTGTGATGGCTGGAGAGTCCCAGACGATCTCTCCGTTGTATCGCAGCTTCACATTAGTGCTGGGTGCACCTCCAGACTCCTCATCTGCTCTACACACACACACAGGGGAGGACATATTTGTGTGTGTGCTTAATCATCTTCCCACATACATTTTTTTTTTTTTATTAAACTCTGTCTTGTTACTGACTTGTTGTAGAGGACGATGTCCGGCTTCCACACCAGGTCGCTGGGGATGTTGATCATCTCCAGATTATCATAGTCCTCCTTGTTCCACTTCAGGTAGGCATCATGCCAGACCTGCCTGATCCACAGGTATGTGGTTAGCACCTGGTTCTTCTCATCCTACACACACAGAAACACACATACATACATACAAACACATGTAAATCTAAAGAGAAAGACAAAAAGGTTCATATCGCTACTTTTTCATTACGCTCTGATATTCAGTGCTGTTGTATACTTGTCTGTTTAAAGGAACAGAAGACTGACAGCAGCATTGTTAGTTTGTAAAATGAGAGACACACATTTGTTCTGCAGCTCTTAATCAAGAGGCGAACAATGGAGAGCTCTCTATTCATTCATAGTCTCTGTGAGTACTGCACAACCATGTCAAAATCATCACATACACACACACCCCTCTAAGTCAAATACATTAGCTGCAAATTAAAAGTACAATAAACAGACCAAAGCGAATCACCGTTATTAATCTTTGTGCTATTATTCCTTTCTCCACAAGTCACACACTTGCAGTACTACTAAAGATGGAGGCCTCATCTAAGATTAGGATGCACTGGACATACCTCAAATTAAGCAAAACATGTGCATGCTTCTAGATCACATATCTGAGCTAAAGTGAGGAGTTGGTTGTTATTGACGAGCATGTTTAGCTTCAATTATGATGGAAAAAGAAAGTGGCCAAACCAAGAAAATGACCAAAACAAACTATTTCTACAGGTAGTGGGAAAGTACATGTTGATTCTCGGATGTGAGTGCCTCTTCTGAGGTACCAGCGTTTAATTCAGCCAAAGAAGCAACATGGTGCACCACCACACTTAACTCCATGGTAACATTGCACAGTCCCTGTCATGTTTTTTTTAACGATATGTATATCGTGTTTTCTACGTACCATGTCTTTGATTTGGGACAGAGTGATCTGCAGCGACACATTGAGAGCTTTGTCTGTGTCATCCACAGGTCTCAGAGCATTGGAGTAGTCCTCCATCAGGTCATTCAGAAGTTTGCGGGCATATTGACCCTGAGCACCATGGGAAACTGAGATCAAAGGTTAAAACAGACAGATGTCAGGGGGATTGCAGTGTAAGATTTTTCAAAATGTTTCAATTTCTTTGATCCTTTTTGATACCACGCATTTTAAAACAATACAATCGCTTTTATTTCTGCGATTGATAATATCAGAACAGTGCAAGAGGTTCAAAAAACAGATTTTTAAGTAATATGAGAGAGAGGTAACAGGAGTCCTAGAGAGACAAAAAGTTACGTTTATGCCTCTGATTAACATCCAGAGAGCAGAGAAGGTGTCACTGTCTTAGCTGCACAAAACATATTAAACAGTGTGTGAGAGTTTGTTGCAATTTTTAGTGATTAAAAAGAAGAAAAAAAACAATATTTGGTGCCTCAGACTTCTATTTTTGTTGCCGTGGTGTCCGAATTATCAGAACAACACTATAGCAAAGACATGAGCAGAAATCAAGTCTGATGAGACAAAGCAAAGCTGTGTATGCAGAACTGACCTTGCAGCAAAAGGCTGATCCAAACCATCAGCGCTGCCTTCCTCATTTTCCACCAGTCACAAGCCGACGGATGAATTATTCAGCAAACCTTAAACAGCCAGGTTCCATATCCAGAGCATCACTTTATTCTGATCTCCATTCTCCTCCCAGCCAAGACGACAGAAAACTCACAAAATCTTACATCCTGTCAGAAGGCTCTGGATGCTTCCATAAGTGTGAGTCGCAGTCCTCCTCTGTTACTGTGTGTGTGTGTGTGTGTGTATGTGTGTGTGTGTGTGTTTGTGTGATCGGCGCTCTGGAACAGGACCTGGGGCTATCGCTCACACACACATACACACATTGCAACACAAAGGTACACTGTAGTATCACATAGCACACAGGTCCTTGGAGAAAGGTGATGCCCACAGCCCTATCCACTTGTGTACATGACCACACACACACACACACACACACACACACACACACACACACACACAACACACACACACACAACACATACACACTGATCCTTACTGCATTACACAGCTAATGACATGTGTCAGTCACACACATACAGTGACACTTCCTTACCTGTGCTCAGGTCATTCTACATGAACACACACACATGTCATGACACATGCCATACACGCTGCATGGCGATGAACTTTACACAGATCCAGGATCAGGTATCACCGTGTCAATAGGAATCTATAACATCAGAGCGTTAGAGCTGCACACTGATCAGAGATCAGAGTACATTTTATCCTTTCTTTGTCTATAGGTCATTGAAGCGATCAGTGACAGGAAACTGCGCAAAACTAACTGACCATTCGTGACAGACTTAAAGTCAGGGTTGGTCATTCTCTTCAGATCCACTTTTTAAGATTTTGTTTGAAATTGTCTTTAGGTCCTGACAGAAATTAATAACTCATGTTCTGAAAGAGGAACAAAGAAAATCAATCATCTGTAGCAGTTGTAAGCCTGTAAAAACTTTGACCAATGTCTGCCACGAGGTACCAATCTGATGAACCAATCAGACGCCTGCTCGTTCTCTACCCCTTGTGTGCACTAGCCAACACTCAAAGCGTGTCACAGATGACAGAGTTTGTACTGTGAGTTTACTTACCGCTGAATGAGATATGAGACGACATAGTTTCTACACAATGACAGTAATGAGCTGAGGTCCGCTTCTGGAGCAACGGCAATCGTGCATGTAAGTGAGGGGGCGTGGCTTTTGAGGGAATACAGAGGGGAGGGGGTGGGTGCAGACGGAGCACTGAGGGAATGCTACTTTCAAAATCATGCTAGTTTCGCGAAAACTACCAACCCTGCCTTTAAAGGTTTAAAGTGTCCTATCATGCTGGTATTCACTTTTATTTATTGGAAGACACAGACAAAAAAGTTTTCTATTTGTTGATTTTGTGGGATTAACACCAAACTTCTGTGAGCATAGGAGTACGGAAAAGTTTATTCTGCATCTCTAATGAGAACCATTTGACATTAGACCAATTGGCTCAAGATTAGCAAGGTGTTAGTTTGAAGCTTTTTCACGTTTTCACCATTTACTGACACCATTGGAAACAAAAAGGTAAAGCAGATTTTTCCTTTGTGTTTTTTTAGATTTATTTTGGGCTTTTCATGCCTTTATAAAAGAGAAAGGACAGAGTTGAGAATCAGGGAGAGAGAGAGAGTGGGGATTGACAAGCAGCAAAGGAGCCACAGGCCAGATTTTGAACCAGGGCTGACTGATTTGAGGACTACAGCCTCTGTACATGGGCAGTGTGAACAAACAAACACTATAGGCCACAAGCACCCAGATGTTATTCCTTCTTAATTTTTTTTTTCCTTTATTGTGTTACGAGAGTAAGTTTAAAGGAGCAATATGTAAGATATCTACTGATTTAAATAAATCATGAAACATTACCTTCAGACATTAAGGAAACATGCTATGTTGAAGTGCTGGCTTCTCTGAAAACAACGCAGCAGCCAGTATGTCCTCCTTCTAACTTTAGATTCTGGTGCAGAACGGTCTGGATTTGTTTGGACCAGAGAAGGTATTGGACATAAAAAGCCTCTGCATGTTTCTAATTAGCTCCACGAGCAGAAACGTGCTCAAACTAGGATCAATATTGGAGATGCTTTTGAAAAATGGAGAGAGGTTAGAACACAGAAAGGTTTACAGACCCATGCAGAGCTGGATAAACACTGAAGCTTCAGAGTCCACCACATGGTGACCTGTGTGAGCATCGACTGTAGAGAGCAGGGGGCGGGGGGAGACAGCTCTCTTCAATGTTTTGAATTTGGGCTGCAGTACCCATTTTAAACACTAGGTGTCAGAGTTACATATTGCTCCTTTAAAAACTGGGCAAAAACTTTTTACAAGGAATTTAATTTATTTCTGTCCATTTTCTTTGCTTTCACGTCTAAACATAACATGAATGCCATGAAATAATGATGCTAATACAATAACTATTATGATCATTAGAAAGCTATCGGTCTGCCATTTTGGTTTGATTGATATTATACCTGCTTCCAATGTTCTTTCTCGCCTGCATTGGGACAGAAAAAAAAAATTCTTTGTCATACTTTTACCACATGAAAAACTTCAGGGAGATCAAAACTCCATCAGTTCACAAATAAATCAAATATAGTATCAAGGAATCTTGCGAGTCGATGTCCCATCTTGGCCTCTAATAACTCGTTTAGAGCACTGAGCCCCTCTGAGGGTGCGAGGTTGACTGGGCAGATTTCTGTGTACACACAAACAGGAGACAAATGGGTCACAGAAACAGTGCTGCATGACGTTAGTAAAGAACAGAAAACTGGATATGAAAAAGGTTACCTTCTTCGGTTTCTGTCATTATGGGTGACGGCATCTTGAGACACACTGCTTGTGTCTTCAACATTTCTACAGCAGCAGACGAGACGTTGTTGCTCTTGCCTGGACATCAGGATGAGAGAAAATGTTATTAGAAATATATGACTTATTATTATTGTTATATCAAACTTTTATTAAGTTCAATAAGAGTCAGCTCCGTGTTGTAGGAATGATTAAGCGATTTGTACTCACTGAAAAGGAGAAGACTTTTGAAAGTGTCCGTGCCAGAGATGATTTCTTCATACACAGACAGACAGTCAGAGCAGTCAGTCGGCAGGTAGACTTCTTTCAGGTAGAACGGTTTCTCTGTGGTGAAGAAGACACAAACACAGAAACATGTGTGAGAGTCTGAATGCTGTTAACAGTGCTCTAAAGAGGACGTCGCACTACATGCTTTGTCCACAGTGGGCGCCAAAATCCACACAAACTGAAAGTCCCATTCAGATAATTTTAATTCAATATTTAATGTGTGATATTGTTTCTATTTGGTGTAATATTTTAGGAGGGACAAACCCTTCATTTTTTTAACAAGCCTTATTCGTAGCATATCCACTTTCTTTATTGAATCAATAAAACTTTCTGCTGCAAAATATATTTCAAAGATGTCGTAAAATACCAACCTCCCTGTAAAAAAGGAATTTTTTAGTCCAATTTCATAGTCCCAGTTATCCAGTTTGAATGCAACCCTCTGCTAGGTTGCATTTAAAAAAATGTTATATCTGTCCTACTGGGATCCAAAACATAAAATACGACAGGGGGCTGGGGGGGTAACATGTTGTTATGTGCATTACAGAAGGGCCAGCCCTGATGCTGGGGGATCGCCCCTTTGATCCTAGCCAATGTCTTCATTCCCGTTGGATCATTTTTGAACAGCAGAGCCCACAAGGTTAAATCCACTTCTTAAAAACAGTCGATAGTTTCCACTCCTAAGTATCGCTCTGATACATCTCTACTCACCAATTAGCATTGTGCTGTTTTCAAAAGTCACGTTGTATGTGAAACTCGAACATTCGTCGACACTGTGAAGACAAAAATGAAAGCTGTGTAACAGAGTGGAAACATATCAATCTTCTTAAACCAAATTTTAAAGGAAAAAAAGAAGATGTTTGACCAAAGTCACGATTTAAAATATAAAAATATTAACCAAAGGAAATGTGCCACGTTGAAATGCAAAGATATTAGCTGACACAGCTCAGAGTCCCACTTCTGATGGGGCAAATAGTCAATCATGGTTCAGGATTTCGGAATGATGACTGGGGCGGTCAGCATTAAGTTTTGAATGAGTACTCCTTTTTATACACAAAATGTCTTGTGTTTATGTTTGGGGATATTTAAGTCATAGATATCAAGATATCTAACTATAAACAATAAGTTCCTTCTTCAACAAGTTTACAAGAGCATCATCTAATTGCCTGTTAAAACCATAGACTGTAAATATTAATGCATGAAGCCTGAGTGTCATCACCCATCTGTTCCTGCAGGGGGCTCCAGAGGCTACACAAAATAAACAGAACAAAGAAAAAACAACCACACCACAAAAGAACCCTTTCAGGAAAGTGGGGCGGCTGTGGCTCAGTCGGTCTTCTCTCAACCGAAAAGTTGGGGGTTCGATCCCCAGCTCCTGCAGCAACATATCCGATGACAAGACATGATTTTACACTTCTGCATTAGCTTCATGTCTCAACACCGGCGTTTTGCCACTTCATTAAAACTACTTAACGGCAGAAACATGAAGCCTAGTGTGACAGTGTCGGTGATTTACATTTTCTGAGTCTGGACAAGATTCAGGACGTTGCTCTGGGAGGTTGCAGTGATGTCCAGCCAGACGCTGGTCATCAGGTGAGCCAGGGAGCGACTCCCTGGGATGTCAGAGCTCCCTCCGAAGTACAGCCACTTCCCCAACATCTGGAACACACACAAACACACGACAATGAAGAAAAAAGGCAGCGGTTATTCCTGTGTTCATATGCGACTGGTGTCCATAGATCTGTAAATATATGGATGAGTGTCCAACATAAGGTCGTGCATTTATTTACAGATGGATAGAAACTACCTGTAGCCATGTGAGAAAGGCTAATTTTGTCCTTTTTCGCCATCCAGTGGTTTGGAATAAGCATTTGAAGAATATCAAACTGATAAAGAGGATGCCTGTATATAATGTATATCTGTATTTTAGCAGAATAACTACACTCAGACTCCCAATAACCAGATAAACAAGTTATTCTTAATAATACAAACTTAATTTATCAACATCAGCAACTGGAACAAAGGAATTAGCCTGTTAGTTAGTTAGCAGCCTGTTACCTATACGCTCAGGGGCGATTCTAGGGTCTGTTGGGGCCCTAGGCAAAAATTAATTGGGGGCCCCTCCAACCAGCATTCATTATTAAGTTCCTCTTTCTTTTTTTTAAACCCCAGACAGATAACTCCTCTTCATGTTCCTTCATTGTAAAATGTAGGTTTTCACAGGAATAATGCTGCAGCGCTTGGCAGGGCACTGAGAGTGAGTGCTGTCAGATGAGGCCTCCTGAGACAGGTTTACTATTGTTGCAAAATTTGCACATTTTGAGACTCTGGGTTGAAGTTTGTCAGCTGATGGGGGCCCCCTTCTCGCCTGGGGCCCCAAGCAGTTGCCCGCCTTGCCTGTTGACAAGCAACGCCTCTGCTTATGCCAGCACACTTACATACTCCAGTGTTGAAAATTGAAGCCGATGCGAAAGTGCGAAATCCTGCAGTTTGACGAGGGTCCGCTTGAGGCTGGCAGCAGGAGAAGTTGTTGAAAAGGAGTTTAATATGTGACCATTAAATCTTTGGATCTCTTGGTCTCAGCTCGAGTTGTTGGGTTCTTGTGATGGTTTGGTTAAATATGTTGGTTTGGTACTTTGGTAAATGGACTTGAGCTTGTGAAGTATTTGTCTGATCTTCTGACTGCTTAAAGCGCCACCAACGATCCAGCTGGAGCAGCTTTGGGTTAAGTGTCTTGCCCAAAGACACATCAGATATGTTTCTACAGGGGCTGAGGATCGAACCCGCGACTGTCCGGTTGAGAGACGACCTTCTGAGCCACAGCCGCCCCACTTTCCTGAAGGGGTTCTTTTGCGGTGTGGTTGTTTTTTCTTTGTTCTGTTTATTTTGTGTAGTCTATATTCCTGCTGTTGTTTATTTTCTTCTGTGTTTGGCTTCTTTTGCTTTTGTTCTTTTTTATGCTCTTTTGCTGAATTTCAAAGCACTTTGTAAACGTGTGTTTTTAATGGTGCTGTATAAACAAAGTTATTATTAATATTTCACAGCCTCAGTTCATTGCCCGTAGTTTGGTAAGCCGTCTTATGCAACAGAAGACAAACAACTACTGGACTCATTACATCACAAAACCTGCCGCAGCTTTTACTATTTTTTTGTCCTACTTTTGTTTTTTGGTTGTTTTTTCCCCTTATCAAAGCGTCTTTGATTTTCTAGAAAAGCCATAAATAAAACCACTTTATTATTATCATTATTATTATTATTATTATTTCAAAGGCAAAAGACAGAGAAGTAACAGACTTCAAAATACAAGAAAACGAGATGTATCTTTGCACCTGGATGAAAAAGATGGGAAATGCAAAAAGCAGACATGAACTTACTTCTTCATTGCTGATAGTTATGGGTTTAACCAGACTGTCACAGCTGGTCTGAGGAGCGGAGCGTCCCAATGAGAGAAGACTCAGGAACACAACAGCAGTGCACGTCTTCATCCTGTAGATGGCTCTGATCTTCTTTTTCTACTGATTCTTCCTTCAGTGCCTCTTCTTCAAACCTCAAGTCTGCCTTCAACACTTTGATGCTTTGATTTTGTTCTGCCTCTTCACCGCCCTTCCACACGCTTTAAATCAACCTCTGTGTCCTCTGCTCTGTGAGCTGATGTCAGTAAAGCAAACAGTGCAAAGAGGACAGACTTTGAACTGTTGGAGGAATTTATTAAATCTTTAGCTGATCACATACAACCGAGAGCTCAGAGGCTCTTATGTGCATTCAGTAAATGCATACTTTTTCCTGTTAATCTCTCTCTTTTTATTTTTACTCTGGCTGAAGAGATTATTTGTGTTTTTTATTGATCTTACTGGTTGAGATCTCCATCTCCTATCTGCCCCGTTTTGGTAGATTTTAAATAGTTGACCTTCTCTCTAATGCTTTGTTCCTTATAACAGCTCTTTTATAATCTGTGTTTCATGATGGATGCCAATCCTGCTGGCTTCAAACAAATCTACCTACAGGTACAAACAAAGTAACCTGAACAGTAAATTAAAAGTTAAGCACTGCTGTGGTGCCCTTGAGCAGAGGGCCGTTGGTGACTCTTTAAAGGGGACATATTATGAAAAATCCACTTCTACAGTGTTTTTGTTTATTTGGGTAACCTGAGTGTCTACTGACTCCCAAAATGTGAAATAAATCCATCCAGTCCTTTGTTTGTGGTCTGCATAAGTCTTACAACACAGAGAAAAATGTTCTGTTTCAAATGTGCTCTCCTTGTGATGTCACAGTGGGATTCTGGTATCTCCACCCATGGACTCCACCCCCAGCCTAGAGCAAAACTTTTGCGCAGGTCTGCCATCTTTATTCTCGCTACAGAGGAGTGATGTCCACAGGGAAAACTCAGGGGGGGGTCATTACATTTAAAGAGACACACACACCAAAACGGAGCGTTCTGAGAGAGCTGGTTTATACAAACCTCCTCTGGTGCTTGATTCATGTTATACTTTGACCAAAGCACAGCACAGATGTTTCATTTAGACCACAGGGGACTGTTAGAAAGGTGGAGAAGGGGGAGAATACGTCCACTTTAACACTTTCTGGATAGTTTATACAAAGGTCTTCTGTGTGTCTTTTCTGTTTGGATTTTATCCATGACAACATTTACATTTGATGTTACTTTTAGCAGCAATTTTTTCTTTCTTGCTGCTCCGGGGGGCTTAGCTTTTCTTAGTTAGATAAAAGTCCGGGGAGCTTCAAGAACCACGGGTTTAGAACATATATTCACATTATTTAGATCGGCTCCTTTGAGAGAATTTTGGATTGTGTTAATTTTGGCGCCCCCCTGTGGACAACGTTGTAAATGTTTAAATAAGGGATTAGAATCCTAAGAATATTTGTCATAATGCTCTCTACTAATCTTTTCTTGACAGTAAAGGAGAGGTGTTCGTATGAAGTTTCAGCTTCCCTCACTCTCCTGTACGAGTTTTTGTTACTTTAAAATCACGTGTATGTGCGTGTGTGAAAACGACAGTGTGGCTGTGTGAGTCCTTTATGTGAATCAGATCTTTTTAACATTTGCAATAATTATTGTGCAAAGAAAGAAGTATTGAAGATATTTAAGATACTTCTGCAAACTAAAAAATGGTTAGAGGTAATTCTGAATAAACTATCATTTTAAATACTTACAAACAACAGGTAAACAGACTACTTTCAGTGAAGTCACAGCTCTGCCTAGTCCCAGCTTCCCCCCCCCTACAGATAATACCAGCCGCCATGCTCGGCCAGTTGTTTATCCCTCGAGAGATAATTGAGATAATGTGATGATAAAAAGATGAGTACTCAAATCAGCTGATGTTGTGTGTAGACGATAATAAGATCTTTAAAGCACTCACAGCTTCGTTTATACAATCAACGTCTTTCAATGTGTTTTGGTGAAGACATGTTACTGGACTGTTAAAAACTGTGTTGTTTTTTGTCTGACAAGGTTTCCCAAAAATAAAATAAAAACGTTTTGAGTTTTTGTTGTGTTGATTTGGCGCCACCTTGTGGACAAAGCGACACCTCTTATCTGTTTCCTGAGCCTCTCCTTTACATGTGTCGATTTTGTTTTTTTAATCAAAGTCTTGTCTTGTTCTTTTTAAAAGTCAAATGTGCAACTCACAATTAATCTTAAGAGTGAAAAACGTTTTAAGTCACGATTTCTGCACTCTGCTGTCAATCACCTGGTCTGACATCGACTCGGTCGCCAAGGTAACAGAAGTTACTATAAAGAAATATTTAATCTTCTTCGTCTAGAGAGGTCTGGTTCGCTTTAGAAGCTCATATAAAGTTATCAAGGTTAATTTCAGTTTGTTTCAGAACCGGTGAAAAACTCCTCACAGGAATTTTAAATTAATTAATTACAATGTGATAAAATCAAGTCCTCTTCTCCCTCATCCCAAACACATAATCTAAGTGTTACTGCTGGACAGAAAACATCTACTTCCCTGATAAGCCAGTCTCAGCTTGTGTGCAATGAGGCTCTTAAGTTCTTTACATGCACATCTTAAAATCAGATCAATCAGGCAGGAGTGTGAGATTAGTGAGAAAACAGACTTCAATTGTCAAATCTAGCACCTCCATTATTAAGCAATACATTTTGCGAACCTTGAAAGGGAATTGGGTAGACCAAATACAGATCAAAAATATGAAGGGGGCACTCTAAATGTTTAAATCAACATCTCCTTATGCTCTGCAGCGAGGGTGTGTTGAATTTCTGTCACACCTCGTTCCACTTAATGAGACACTGACTTGGTGAGCACCTGACGAGCTTTCGCAAGCTCCTTGAATTGTTTTGCGCCATGAGTGGCATAACGTCTCCAAACAGCGGGGTGAACTGGAGGCTGATGCAGAGCATGCTTTCACATAGACGTCAAAGTTTTAATTACAAATCAGGGTGGTTACAATAAATGTTTATTTCTAAACTCTTCCGATTAAAACACAAGTAATGTATTTGTTATCTTCACCGAGTGTTGTAGAACTCAAAACGAGTGTGAAGGTCTCGTCTCGGAATCAAACATTTTTTCACTCAGTCTTGCCTCAGTCTCAGACCGGGCGGACTCCGGATATTAAATCAAGATAGTCAAGACCACCACTGACAGGCTATTTCTCCTCACTGTGAGTAGGAGGAAAACGCCTCAGTGGACATTCTGAACTCTTTCTGGAGAGACTAATTTCTGTGAACGATAAACGAGAGGACATTCAATAAATGCTTCTCAAATATTCATCCCAATAAAAGACAAAACAGATCTTATCAAAAGTGTTTTTTTTTAATTGAACTTAAACTGAGAGCTCTCTTACGTCTTCTTACAGGACAAGAACAAAAGGACAAACAAATGACAGGAAGAGATCTAAATCTGCTGATCGCCTCGACTGAAGAGGGAGAAATCTCTCTGAGCGGGACGTAATGGTTGCAGCTGTGAGAGGAGGGGTCGAGGGGAGAGGATAAAGACTGACCGATGCCCTGTCACATGTCAGCCAGTGATGGAGAGACGAGAGTAAAGAGGACAAACTCAGCCTTCCTTCACCACCACCTCCTCTTCTCCTCCTCTCTCCCGCCCTCCGTCTGCAGTGATGGTGAGGATGAACGACAGCAGGGTGGAGTATTGAGATGGATTGACAGGGGAGTGACAAGAAGTATCGATCACTCTGCGACACTCTGGTTTTGTTGGTCACTTTCCTTCATCTTCATCTTGGTGGGAGACTTGGGGGCAGACACACACACACACAGAGGGGAGGAGAAACCAAAGGGGGGTGAGCACTACTCCATGGCCTCCTGGTTCTCTTGGTCTGCGCTGATTTCCTCGCTGGCCTCTTTGCCCTCCTTGCTCCTTTTGCTCTTCTTGTGTTTGTGTCTCCTGTGGCTGTCGCCCTCCTCGCTGTCATGCCTCCTCCTGCTACTGCTGCTAATGGAAACATGAAGGATGAGCGTGTGGAAAGGGGAAAGGGAGGTGAGGAGGGGGGGGAGAATATAAGGAGGGTAAAGGTCAGGAAGGGAAGATGAAAAGGAAAGGAGAGAGGGTGGATGACAAATGGGTGACAGAGAGAAAAGGTGACGTTAATAAAGAAGGGACAAAAGAACGGCAACAGCAATTTTCACACACGCACTCCTGAGAATATCCAGGAAAGTTTCAAGATAGCCTTTGCATGAAATCTTTCTTGAGTTGTGATTCACACTCTCACAGCGTGAAGTTTTCCCCGTCAGGCGGAAGGGAGGAGGTGTGGGGGGGGGTCTCAGGAGGCATGAAATGAAAAAAGAAGCTGCAGAAATCTGACTGTCACAGTGTCATTGACAGAGTGGGAAAAAAAACACATGCGCTAGAACAATACATTCACAACGGTGGCAGGTGTCATGCAGGTTTCATGATTTAAACATCATCTGCTCACCCTGACTTCACATGGTCATTTTATTTTATATCAATGCTGATTTGATTTATTCACAGGATGAGTGAGTGAGTAGTAGTGTGTATTAATGTGGTAGAGGGTGGTGGGTGGGATGCGAGGGACGAGATTTGTGTAACATGAATGAATGGGACATTAATGCACATGTTTCTATATTTATTTAATGATAAATATATATATTTTGTTTTATTTTATGTGATTTCTCTGTTGTGTCTTGAGTTATAAATGTAAATATCTCATGTGATCCTGATTTCACTCTTGAAAAGTGTAAATTAAGTTAAATGTTACGGTATTATTTTGGTTGATAAAAACTTGTAAGTTTGAATGATGGAACGCATGAAATTAATTAAAATAATTATATTAAAAATATATATAAAAAAATTAAAATGACAGATTACTAAAGAAAACACTGGCCAGCCAAAAATAAATAAAAAGAGAGCACGAAGAGTGCACCAGTTGCACACTGGTTACCACATCAAATTGTGATAAAATGATATTGATTATATTTTAGACCCAGTATCATGACACATATTTCATTGTTTCATCCCTAAACAAACGGTTAGCCACAGTTAGCAGACAACCCTGCTTAACACTTCCTTCAATATCACAACACCTGTGATCAACGTAAACACTAAACAGTGGTTATGCTTGTTATTTAAGATTATATTAATGCAACCACTAAAGCTCTTAACATGCTGCCTCAGCTCTGCGTCTACAGCTCACGAGTGAAGAAATGACCGAGCTGAGCTTCACTTGCTACGATAATAAAACAGTCACATGGTGCAGGAGAGGCGAAGTGATTGGACGATGCGTTTGTGTACCTGCGGGAGGACTTGTGGCGCCCCTCTTCTTTCTCTCGGTGCCGCCTCTCTCTGTGTCTGTCCTCTTTCTCCCGGCTGGCCCGGTCCCGATGTCTCTCTCCGTAAGCTCGCTCCTGGTACTCGCGGTAACGATATCGCTCCTCCTCGCTGTAACAGTTAAAGAAAAGAAGCTTTCGTTGATTTGGATGTCGCAGTGAGTGAACAAAGAGCATCATAATACTCCGATCAAACCTTTGAGAACCCATCAAATAATCACAGATTCAGCTAAAGGGTACTGACTGACGGATGTAATGTGTGTATCCTCCCTCACCTGGTGTAGCCCATGGCTGACGGGCTGTGCTCCCTCTCTCTCTCCCGCTCATGTGTCCTCTCTCGTGGCCTCTCTCTTTCCTTTTCTCTCTTGTTGTCGTCTCGTCTGTAGTAGTTTTCCCAGGGTTTTGAGTTGTCCATCATGGGCGGCCAGGGAGGAGGACCTCCAGTCATGGGCGGAGGGTATCCACCTGAACGGGTAAAGAAGAAGGAAGCATTACACTTGGTGTAAGTTTGCAAGGTTTCTCCAACGCACGACCCCTTTTCTGAGTGGAAACCCGACAGCCACTAAACCTTTCACACTCGACAAAAGTGACAGGTCAACATCATGTTTTATCATAGTCCAGGTTCAAGCCCGACCTGTGGCTCCTTTACCACATGTCATTCCCTGCTCTCTCCTGATTTCCTACTCTATCCACTGTCCTATCAACAAAGGCAAAAAGCCCAAAAATAAATCTAAAAAGAACCCAATTTAAGTCACTATTTTATCCCTCTATCACAACATTCAAATCTAATCAATGGACTGAAAACATGTTCTGACGTTTGTTGTGCTGCTAAGGTAAAAAAAAAACAGATTAGGTTGTAAATGTTTGTACCTTGAGGGAACGGGTAGGGAGGGACTGAGCGTCCGTCATAACCTCCAGGGTGGCCACTGAGGAAAAAGAACAAAGGAAGCATGTTTTAGAGAGAGAGAGAGAGAGAGAGAGAGAGAGAGAGAGAGAGAGAGAGAGAGAGAGAGAGAGAGAGAGAGAGAATTTGTGCACTAGGGAATGACATCATGAAATCAATATGTGCCCCCTTGCTTCTTTCATCATTGTCATCATGAACGACAAATTAAACACAGCATCTGCTTAAATGTTACTTTGATTTGTGTGGACGCTCTAAAGCTGCCAGACATCGTACAGTCTGCGGTGTGCAGGTGTGGACGTGTGCGTTACCTGTCCATAGTGGGGATCATCGCGGGAGGGGGCCCACTAGGTGGAGGAGGAAAACCAGGAGGTGGGACAGTAATGGGCAACCCTGCACGAGAGGAAAGACATGGAACAGTAAATACTGTTTGATTTATAACGGCTGCTTCTGATCAAATAAAACAACAGACAAAGAAGAAGTATGATGAGGATAAACTCACTGGGTGGGGGGATGAGGGGCGGCGCAGTGCTGACGTTGGGTGGCGGTGGGAGGAAAGGAGGTGGGGGTATGTTTGGAGGGAGGGGTCCGGGAGGGAAGAAGGTGGGTATCTTAGCTGGAGCCGGCTCAGAGTCTGATTGTTCGGAGATCACCTGCAACGGACGGGAGAGAGGTTGACAACATGTTCATGTTAACGACTTTCACGATGTGGTTTTTTTTTGTTTTTTTTTGGAGATGGCTCATTTTGCGATGACGATCAAATATGCGATCCATTGCCCCGCCCTAATGTGTACCTGGATGTTGTTGCCCTCTAGGTTGTGTCTGCGGCGCCCTTCAACCCGGCTGATGGTGGCCGTCTGTCCTCCGATCACGTCGATCGTACCGCTCGTCTTCCTGGAAATAAAATATAAAAAACAAAGATCAAGGCGCTGAGCATCATCTGACACAAAAGACACTTTCACACACACACACGCCGTACAAGGCGATAGGAGACAAGGCCACGCCCACTTACGTATAATAGGACATGTCCTGGATAGGCGGGCCAGGCCACTGAGGCGGGGAGATCCTACCATTTGGAAACAAAGGACAGAGGTTAACCCGACACACACAAACACTTACAGCTCATTGGATGGTGAAGGGGGACACCTGTAGACCTGGAAACCACCAGGTGTTTGAAGACATTTACTCCATTAAAACTATCACACTACGCAGAGCAGCTTCTTAACATTTAGACGTTTATAAGATTTACTCTTATCATCGATCTGACACATTTCAGACATATTTCCATCCACATGTAGCACAACATTTTTAAAAGTTAATTTTCCACAAAATCTGCAAAATAAAATGTGACTTAACGTGTGTTTTGATTTCATAAGGGTCATGAATCATCAAGAGTTGGACACATCAACATAAACAGGCTTATTAGAAGCAAACATTTAGACAACTCTGTCTCTGAAGCCTGAACTAAGATTGTCAAATCGTTACTTTGATTCTTCGACCACATTAGGTGTTGTAGTCAAGACCACACTGACCGAGACCAAGACAAGTACGAAGCATGTAGGTATCGAGACCAAGACCATAGATATTCCTGAAAAGTCAACATTTAGTAGACTGAAACACCAGGAAGGTTGCAGCCGTAACCGTGGAGTAAAAATCTAATTCTGAAAGAATTTTCATTATTTGTTTTTTGTCCTTCTGATCAGAGTACTGAAGTGGAGAAGTAGCCAGTCAGTGGTGGTCTTGACCGGTCTTGATTGGGATTGTACGGTACCCAATTTTGGGAGGCTAGGACTTCAAATGTTGTTACTGAGATATCAAAACGGGTATCCTCTCATTTGATTTTTATGGGAATGGTATCAAAGTTGAAAAACCTGACGTTGTGACAACCCTTCTTTGTACATGTAACTTATAATAGAAGCTTCTCCTGTGTTGTGTAACAAAATGTTTAAAGAAGTGAAGATGAGAGCAGAGGGGTTACCTGGTGACCTGACTGACAGAAGACTTGTACATGTTGACAGGAGACGTAAAGTCTGGCTTGGAGGTGTGAACAGGTAAAATGGACATGTCCTTCTCATTGCCTGTCCTACCCTGCTGAACCTTAAAAAAGAAGAAGAAGAAGAAACATGTTAATGCAATTCATGTAAAAAAAAAATCTGACTTTCACAATGTATTTATTGCGCAAGCTCATGTCACGATAACGATAAAGTCGAGATAAACTGCGCAGCTTTAATTAAAGACAGAAACTTGATCCAGCCAACTGATGAGAGAAAGATGATTATGAAGAGATTTGGTTCAACATGTGAAGCAGTGACAGACGTAAGCACAGTGGCTTCTTACTGTGATCTTGCTCGTCACTGAGCCGAGAGTGGAGACCTCCAGGCCCATGCGCAGCCTCTTCTGTTTCTCACAGTAAGCCTTCCACGTGTCCTCATTGAAGCCGTAGTTAAAGTAATCAGACAGATCCGCTCCTAGAAACACAAACACAGACATTCTTTTTAAATACTGCACATTCCTGAAATAAAACACATTAAGTTTTATAAGCTGCACACACAGACGACCTGGCTTCCTCCAGGGTTTCTCCTCAAACGACTCCATGTCGGCCTCCAGCACTGGAACGCCGTTAATGTTTCCAGGGGCGTCCAGATCCACTCCCTTCAGCTTGGCTGCAATTGAAGATGAACACGTTACGGTTTGTGATCTCTTCATGGCAGTCTTTGGTTAATTACCAGTGTTCAAGGTGTTTTTATCCGACTAGTACAAAAAGAAGACGCTGTTTTTAATCACCTTGTCCATACGGTCTTGAGCCTGTCGTCTTTATGTTGAGATTGACGGGTGGCGCTCCGTACGTTCTGAAAGAGAAAACAAAAACTTAAAAACACATGGTCTACTAACCTAAAGCGGTCACATACATAACAAATATGACACCCAATCCAAGAAGGACCATCAGTTATACTGAACGTACGTGTATTGTGGCGCTCCAGTTTTTATGTCTCCGATGGTGACACGGACGTCATCGTCGTCATCATCACTGTCGCTGTCACTGTCCACATCCTCACCTGCTGCTTCCCCTGTGGCCTGACACACGCACGGAGGGAAAACACAACATGTGTTAGATGTTCTTGAAGGGAGAGGTTACATCCATTTAAGAGGAATGTAGGTGATCATGAGCATGCATTATATTTACCTCGGAGGCAACGCCGTTTCCTGTAGCGTGCTCAGTGGCATCTTCTGTTGACGCATCGGCGGGTGCACTGCAGATAAAGAAACATCAGAGATAGATTACAAGATGTTTTTGGGGTTTAAAAATCCATCCAGTCATTCACAGGGATGACATATAGACAGTCAACCAGCCATACTCACACTCACTCCTACGGGCGATTTAGAGTCACTAACGAGAGTGACAAATTAAAATAAATTATAAATGGTAAGAACAATGACACGTGTAAAATGTGTCCAATTGTTTTAAGGTGCTCTTTGCTTTAAATGTTTTCTCTGAACTTGTAAAAATCCGCATTTAGCTTTTTTTTGGCTCCAAAAATATTGGAATAATTAACAATAATTGCTGCTGCGAGACTTGTAGCACAGGACATTAAGATGGGAAGGAAGTACTTCACCCCACACCTCACAGACTAAATGGACAGTTGACCACCTCACAGTGCAATACAAGTGTGCAATATTAACCTTAAAAACAAAAAAAGTGCAATTATATAATGTGAAAAATATGGGCAATAACCTCAGGTGCAATAAGAGATGTAGAAAGTTAGAGACAAGAAAACATATTTATATTTTCATTTCATTGTACAGTGTTCCCCTTTGTTATTTTTTGTATTATATCTTTGCTTTAATACACCTTTACCTCTGCACCTTTAAGAAAAAGCTAAAGACCCAGCTCTTTCATGAATACCTACTAACTTAATGATTATTATTGATGATGATGATGGTAATGACGATGGTTTTTGTTTGATAACGACGACTTATAAAATGGTTTCTATACTTATTAGAGCTCTCAAGAACTGCCCTCAATGTTGTGCTTTGCCTCTGGTCACTTCCTGTCAGCACCTGTGTGTCCAATCAGACTCAAAGCTGATCGTTTGCTCTTACTGACATTGTTCCCTTTTTTCTAGATCCTTGCTTGTGTTGTTCTTACTCTCTGATCTCTTTGGATAACAGCGTCTGCTAAGTGAATTGTAGAATACAATGTATAACTTCTGTACAGTTTATTTTAATTCACTTAGCTGTTACTACAACTTATTTATTTTTTTATTTTATTTGTACTCTTTTTTTCTTATAATGATATTCTTTTTTATATATAATTTTTACTTTTTTGTAGAAGCTGACTCAGGGAGAAACACACAAGAATTAAAATGTACCTGTACAGTCCTGTACCTGTGCAAATGGCAATAAACATCTATTTATTTTATTTTATATTTCTGCAATATTTTACATTTCATACTGTGCAATATTTATTTAATATTTCTGCAATATTTTACATTTCATACTGTGCAATATTTATTTAATATTTCTGCAATATTTTACACTTCATACTGTGCAATATTTATTTTATATTTCTGCAATATTCTACATTTCACACTGTGCAATATTTATTTTATATTTCTGCAATATTTTACATTTCACACTGTGCAATATTTATTTTATATTTCTGCAATATTCTACATTTCATACTGTGCAATATTTATTTTATATTTCTGCAATATTTTACACTTCATACTGTGCAATATTTATTTAATATTTCTGCAATATTTTACACTTCATACTGTGCAATATTTATTTAATATTTCTGCAATATTTTACATTTCATACTGTGCAATATTTATTTTATATTTCTGCAATATTTTACACTTCATACTGTGCAATATTAATTTTATATTTCTGCAATATTCTACATTTCACACTGTGCAATATTTATTTTATATTTCTGCAATATTTTACATTTCACACTGTGCAATATTTATTTTATATTTCTGCAATATTTTACACTTCATACTGTGCAATATTTATTTAATATTTCTGCAATATTTTACATTTCATCACTCAAGATGAACACTCACACCTGCCCCCTTCACAGGTAAACAGGTGCCTCCTGACTTTTCCAAATCAGCAAACACACACAAATGTTTCTACACGTGTAAAATCAAAGTCACATACTCGCTTGCAGCGTTTGGTTTGACCTCCTCATCTTCATCTTTGCTCTCAGACTCATCTGAAACATGCAAAACAAGTCACTTAAACAGGGGCAAACTCAACCACAGCTCCATGCTCAACCTCTTCAAACACACACACCTACTGAGAGGCTGTTTAATCACAGTCAGCACTATTTAAACACATCACAAAGGTAGTTTAAATCATGTTATTGTCGCGTCACAGCTGCGAAAGGCCGACTATAGCAAACCTTTAGCTTAGCTTCAGAGCTAACTGTAACATTATCTGTAAAGCAGGCGGTGTTGTTGTTTTGGTTTGCTGTTTATTCACACAGAAAACACACTAATAGGTGTTTAATTCATGCTTTAGGAGTTGTGTTTGCGGAAAGCCCCCTCTTTTTGTTACCTCCATACAACCATTCCTCCTCCTCATCACCGGCGCTAGCATCCGCGGTGCCTGTTTTGTCCGCTTCTTCTGCAGACATGTTTTCAGCTGCACACGAATAAAGAGACAACAAACAGTTCAGCTGAGCCTCCGAGCGCAGATTCACACGCACTGTTTCACCTTCTCCCTTCAACGGGGGAGCCGCACTTTGATAAAACAACCACAAAATACTGCATCCATGGATTTATCCCGAGCCTCTGCGAGTCTGCGTAAAACCCGGAAGAGGTTGTGAATGTCCCGCTTAGGTCGAAGGGATGGGGCAGAGAAATCACAGCGCCCCCTGGCGGAGGAGGAGGAGGAGGAGGCACACTGCGTTTATTTTATTTATTTTCTTTATTGGACAAAATTCCGATAGGGAATTCAACAGTTTGCATACGAAACTGTTTGCATTTAAAACAATATATATATACTTCAGATACAGCAGATTATACGGAGACCCTGAAAGTCCCAAAAAGTTACAAAATATATATAAATAAATATAAATAAATAGTGCACACAAGTTAATTAGACTGTGCGCAAAAGATATACATTTGTGTGCACAGGTTAGATAATTACTAAAACAAAACAAGATAATTATGTCGTGCTCATAAGTAAATATCTGGTGCGTACAATATAATAAATAGTGAGTGCTGTCAGATGGGGCCCCCTTAGGAAGGTTTCCTATTGTCATTGCAAAATTTGCACATAATGGGCCGCTGCTGTGGTTTAAAGTTTGTGAGCCCTCAGGGGCCCCCTACTGGTCTGGCGCCCCAACCAGTTGCCTGCCTTGCCTGTTGACAGGCAGCACCTCTGTTCCTATAGAACTCAGCCGCCTGAACAGACAAAGGTATTTGTTGCAGACGTTTCAGCCAAACTTGGACTCGCACTCAAGTGCATCTGTGTGCGAGTCCTTCCCTGCAGCACCTAAAGAACTCTAACCATAGTGTCAGTAATCTAGAAGCAGTCGTTTTACATTTTTACCCTTTCTTGTGGGGCAAAGACTTGGATAAATTATGCTACGTTGGCCTGCATGCGCTGGGTGCAGATGCCTTAAAAATGCTTCCGTCCCACCATCAGACACAATTCATGAAAGGCTGCTTTGTTGTGGCTGATGTTGCTCTTTTCTTCCTGTGTGCAGGGGCTGGCAACGAGGACAGGGAATGGTGGAGGGAGCTCGATGTGGTCCGATGCTCCACATGGGACGAGGATTACTAGATTATTGGGGCCTACACCTTGGAGCTGTAAAAATGAGGCACACACCTGTACCATGTTCCTCAAAAGGAAAAAGGACTTTCACAAGGTATTCTGACCTAATCCCTCCAAAACATATTAGCAGTCATCCTCATATGACGCATTGTTTTTAGACTCCTGATCATTTGGACCCCCCGGGCCTTTGCCTGCTGATCCAGGAGACCATAACCTTCTCAAACTGTTAAAATGAACACCATGGCCAGTCAGTATATGAAGCATAAAAACACAGCTGCCTTCATCAAAATGTGGAGCCCATTTCTTAAATATGAAAATATCTAGGTGTCTGCCAGGTGTTGTTTGAAATATGTGAAATGTTAGGACCCAACTATCGTGATTTTTGTAGTGATGCTGTGTTAAATGAATTAAAGGAATGCCCTATATTTGATAAATCTACCTGTTCTGCTTTCTTTTGTGCTCTTTATTTTTTTGAAGATGCTGAGCTCTTCTCTTAAATTAAAATGTAATAGATAGATTATTTAGAAAATGCATTACATAGCCAAAAGCATGCAATCATCCGCTCTCCTGGAGGTTTGTTCAAAGACGTTTTGACTAGTCGAGCCCACTTTATTTATAAAGTTTGTGATGTGTTCTTGCTCACAGAGATGCACTCTGCGTCCCTCCATATGTTTATGAAATCAAGCAGCAGCTGGCAGACTCATTATAAGCTTGATTGCTGCTGGGGTTCTTGTTAATGCAGCGAGGGTTGTTAATGCATTTATGGCCATTGACCAGTTAAGTGGAGGCCACTTACGTTTTTTTTTGTCAGTAAGCGATGAAGGAGATCTGTGGAATCTCTCACTCTTGTCTTTCCACCACCACTTAAGCCATTATCACTTCCTTATTCAGTGGTGATTATACAGAGGCGGGACGACATTCACACAAAATGTGGAAATGAAAGGAATAAGCATGTACACCCATAAACAAGGATTCATGGATATTTACATTAGCATGCATGACATGAACACAAACATTGATTCATGTTCCCCTCAATGTGAGAACAGCACAGGGATTCATATCACAAGTAACCACTGTATCACACCGTGTGCAGACTTGTGTGAGGATCTTTGTGTGTTTATAGCACACTCACACACAAACAAGGAAACACACACACACACACAGGGAGGCAGTAGAGAGAGGAGGATGCCAATGGTCTCTCAGTTAAACTGATCATGGAAATTGCATTTATCTCGTTCAGTCTGCCTCTCCCAGCCTTGTCTCTTTTACGATCTGCTATTCCTCACACAGCCGCCTTTGTGATCAACGTTTCTCCCCTTTCCTTATTTAATGCTTTCTAAGATCATCTTATCTTTTAAGAACAACAAAACACCCTTTAAAAGACATTTTCTGGGGTTCCTTATACCAGAAATAGGTAGTTCTGGGAGAGTATAATAATTCAGACAGCATAAAGGTTGATCCAGGCTGAGCTATAGGTTGAATTTCAACAAATTTCTTGCTCCATTTATGTTAACAAAAAATACCTTAAAAGGAAGAATGTGCAACTTTGTGATCCAGTAGATGTCGCCCTTGAGCACCAGCATGACACCAAAACAATTCTGTTATTCTGAAGCCTCCGCCAACCCCTCTTCACTCGCATTCACACAAAGGAGTTATCAATCAGAACGCACCATATTTAAGCACTGCAAGCGGCGGACAAAATTATCCTTCGCTCGAGCTGCAATCACCTGTGTCCTGCGTTGCTGTGTTAGCATGCTGATGTTAGCGCTCTTTAGTTAGTTCGTAGCTTCATATCGCACATAAATTGACACAGAATGACCAGACACTTATGTGACATCCAAATAAACAGTGAGTATGTTCTTCTTCTTCTCTCTAGTTCTTGACTAAAACAGCTTTTATACACAAGGGGAGGAGCCGGCCGTCCCGTCCATGTAAACACGGCTCTGACAACAACACAGCCTGCAGGACTCGAGCTTCTCACTCACTGTAGACAGTCATGACTCAGAGAGACATTTACACAGGATAGACTTGATTTATGATTTATTTATGTGTAAAATGTTGCACATTCTGCCTTTAATACGATTTAAAAATATTCAAACTTATTGGACTGCCTTGAAAATCGATCGTCTAAGCCATTGGTCCCTCACTTTTTATCTTTGGAACTGAGAAAAGATTTAAATTATTTTGTCAGTTTTCGATATTAACCTTGCTCGATTGCGAATTTGTTCTGCACATGTCGCAAAAACTAAAGCAGCTTAGCACAACATATATCTGCAAAAATGATACATCCTGAAGGTTAAAGAGTTCAGTTGTTGTTGCAGCTGTGAAGTACAGTACAGCGATTAAAGGCCGTGGTGTTGGTGAGAACTGCACGAGCACCGAGCTATAAGAAAAGAAAAAGAGGAGGCAGATCTCAGAACAGCTTCATGTGTTGTTCCTCTGGTTTCCCCTCAGGCTCTGAACCGCTCTGGCATAATTCTCTGATTCTCTTCACTCCCTTTTCCCATGACTTTTCCTGCTATTCTTCTTTCCTCTTTTTAGTCTTTGACCCCTCTGCTCACAATCCCTTTGCACCATGTTGTGTCTTTATTTCCCTCTCCTCTTCGCCCTCCCATCCTGACATTTTTGTCTCCTTGCCTCCTCCTCCTTCCCTGCGTCCATCCTTCTCTCCTTACGCTGGATTACGGCGGCTTACAGCGCAGTCGATACTAATCAGGTTTATCTAGACAGAGGGCGATCATTGGGCTATCAGTAATTACACACGGTGATATAAGCTTACTAAGATATGTGGCCTGGCACATTTTCAAACATATGGTTGCTTTAACATTGTGATGCCATATTAGACAGCTTAGCCGTGTCGTTTCTATCCTTTTGTTTTGCAGCACAAAGATCCATCTGTTGTGGAAAATAGATGCATGTTTGTTCCCTGGTAATTCTGCAGAATAGGAGTTAATTGTTTAACAATGTGATTAGAGAAGCTGCATTTTTCTTCTGGTAAGCAATTTAGACTTCAGATTAGTAGAACTGATTGAGCTCTGAGTGGTTTTGTATTCAAAGTTTTCTGAAAATAACTATTTTAAAAGCAGATATATGTGTCCGCCTTTCTGATAACACAATAAGCAAACGTTTGGCAATTTGGAAAATACACTCATTAACTTCCTTATACCAAAGAGGAGATTGTTAACAGTCTTGTTTGAAGGTAGCAGCCTGATAGCAAGCTAAGCCCAACGTCTGAAAAACAGGTGAGAGAAAAGTTGTGACGCTATCTTTAAGTGCAGCATAATACAACCAAAGCTTACAAATAAACCTTCTTCTGCTTTCATTTTTTGAAAAAGCTCCAGTGTAAAATTTGACAGGTTAGAGTTTTCCTTTGGGTTACTTCATTGACTATTTCTTGGCTCGGAGCTGTTGCCAGGCAACCACTTCCACAGGTCTGAAGAAGAAATAGTCCTGATATATATCCCCCTCCAAAAGAAATATTTTTTTGTTTCTTTCTTTCTTTGACATCTGAGGCTTTGTGTAGATTATAAAAATTAGACATTATGAAATGATCTGAAATGCAACAAACACGACTGGATTCAATCAGGGTTTGACCATCCAGCAACCTCCAGCTTTGTAAAATAAAGCCACTGTAGAAGTGCAAATAAAACTGCAGTTCCTCAAATGTCCACTTGAGGCAGTCTTGGGAAACCCAGGAAGTTACACTAACACCAATACTAAAGGCTTTATATGTGATTCTTCACACTTAAATATAATAGAAATCAAGTATATCCTCTGAAAATAACTCTGTGAGTCATGACTGTCTACAATGGGTGTAACACCCGAGTCCCACTGTCTGTGATGTTTTCAGAGTTTTCAGAGTCCTATCTTCAGTTTGTTTACATCGCCCGGACGGCCGGCTGACTCCTCCCCTCGTGAATAAAAGTTGTTTAATTGAGGGACTAGAGAAAAGAAGAATAACATACTGTACTCACTGCTTAACTGTGTTTCTAGATCACGCTCATTTCAGGTAAATTTACATGCAGTGTGAAGATACCAGCATAATAAAGATCGCTAGCATTAGCATGCTAACACAACAATGCAGCGCGAGTTGTTTTGGTTTCATGCTGGTGCTCAAGGGCGACATCTGCTGGATCAAAAAATCACATATAAAGCCTTTAAATAAGCTTCACTTTGAGAGCAAAATTAAACATGTTTATAGACTATACAAAAGATTCATTTGTCCTGAATGGTGAATTTCTTTAATCCTACATGCTGTATGGGGATAGCGTTATTAGGGAGATGGCTGGGTTGACTGCAGGTGGGTGTGTTGTAGCTGTTTGCCAGGCTGCTTAATGCCCACCTTATCTTTAACCCCTCTCCTGTTACCCAATAGGATTGGGGATAGGATTTCCAAAATGGGGTTTGGCCTCCAAAGGTCTCATGAGAACAACTAAGTCAGCGTCTATACGTCCATGTTTCATACAGTCTATGGATGACATCAGATTGAAACTTGGGCCTTACTTTGATTGCTAACTTTATATTATTATTATTTTATGACATTGGACCCACCTCTTAGTCCGACTCTTCAATGGGTCTTAATTGATGTGTGAAACACCACAATCAAACCGTGGATGGACACTTAACAACCACACAGAGTGGATCAGAAAACCCTCCTCTGCACTGACACTGTGAGATAGGAGAGACGATGGACCCAGATGTATCAGGTTTATAATGTCCACTCAGCAGACAGAGAACAGTGTTGGATTGCGCTCAGCTCTCGGCCAATCATTGGAAGGAAAAACAATGAGTGTGTGTCCAAATTGTGTGTGTGTGTGTGTGTGTGTTTTCTGTCAGAGTTGTGTGGATTTTTTTTTTTTTTGCAAACAGGCAGAGAAGGTGTACTCATTTGGGCCCGCTGCCTGAGGGTGTGAGATAGCTCCATTTGTAGGTGATTGAGTTAGGGGGTGTGTGTGCGTATATGTGTGTGCGTCACAGACAGAGGAGAGAGAGAGATAGAGAGAGAGAGAGAGAGAGAGAGAGAGAGAAAGGGGAGAAAGGGGAAGGTGAAATAGATTGAGAGAGAGAGAGAGAAGGAGGAATGATTTTCATTACGTAATCTAATCTAAGTGGCTATTTTTCTTGTATAAATCCTCTGTTGCCCTCTGTGAGGCCGCTGTCCTCATCTGTCTAAAAGCACTGAGTGAGTCACACACACACACACACACACACACACACACACACACACACACAAAGTCATAGTGAGTCAGCCAAGATCTGCTATAGACGCTCACCTCAATAATGAATAATGTAACAGGCAAAGGCATATAAACTACTCAAATGACACGAGGACTCGGTGGACAGTAAAGACATATGGATGATCCTGATGATCGCACACACACAAAAACACACTCAGTGACATCCTCACAGAGCATGTGGGCAGCTGGACGATGGGTAAGTGAACAGTCGGATTACAACTTGACACCTTGAGGTGAGGATGTCTTTTGTATGTACAAAGAATAATCAACACAGGGAACACAGGGTGGACAGAGAAGAAGTTACAATTTGAGTCCAATGTGAAACGAGCTCAATCAAATCATGAGATGGAAAGATTGATGCTTCTCTTAAGTCTGTTAGCTTAGCATGAAGTCTGGATAGAGGGTGAGACAGCTATCTCAGCTCTGTTTGAATAAGATACATAATTTACAGACCAGTTTGATTTACTCAGGCTACATGTCCTGCAGGGGTCCTAAATCAGCTGCAAAATCAGACTCGAAAGTCGTCCCGCTTCTTAAGTGAGGAACAAAAAAACATTTTGTGTTGCAAATATTCAAAAACCCCTTTGACTTATCACTGTCTGCAAGGAAGTGTTGATATTTCCCAAGCACATGGTTTGTTTGTCACTGTCCTCTCCCTCCCCGCAGGCTTTTAGTATCCCGCGCCCTCCCATAACCCACTCCTGAATGTGTGAATACCACAGATTAATCTGTAACAACCCTTTTAAAACCCACCACTGCAAAACAGTCTATTTTGCACAATTTAAGATGAACTCAGGGGCTGTATCACAACATGAACTGAGAACAGAATATACATCCAATGTGATCTTTGGTTTCCACTTGCACAGACAACTGGAAGAAAGACTGTCTCTGTGGATGTGTTTTTGTTGAATAAATTAAAGAATCACTGTGCATAATTTTCTGTTTCTTTTCTTGTTTGTTTAGCCTAATTTTGCCATCATGCGCTGTAAAATAAATAAATAAATAACTCTGAGCATTAAAGGAGCTGAGAGCTCAGAACTGAGGTTAAAAATAAATCACGTGTAAGAAAAAAAACACACAAAGGTACCGGTGTTTTCTTTCATATTCCTAAATCTGGGATTATACAAAAATGAACTATTCAGACCTCTTTATAAAACTTGGGCTATGAGGGCTGTATTATGTGAGGAATACATTTGATGATGATTTTCTTTTAAGCTACTTTTTTCAAATGAGTTGTTCTGAACAGGTTCAAGTGTTTTTAAGGACTGATGGCACAAATATGATTACTGGAGTGCAGGCAGGGGCATGATGTCCAGAGGGTTGGCATTGCATCTTGGAGAAGAGAAGAAAAAGTCTATCAAAAAATGTGCGAGACAACTCCTGTACTGTCTAGGAAAAATCACTTTTTGGGCAACGATAGCTACCGAAAGGTTGCCCATTCATTTATTTTTGACAAGTTAAAAAGTGAACACTTGTATGTTATTATTTGGACTTACATTGTGTTTTGAGTCATTAAGGAATTAGAGCTTTATTTATTTTTTGCACTGGCAGCTCACAACTCACAACCTCAATTTCAGAGCGCTTCTGTTGCCTAGTTATAAAAGTTGGGTCAAGGAACTTCTGCTTCCTTCTTTAGTGACTTTTGCTTCCTTCTTTAGTGACTTTCGCTACTTTCGCTTCCTTCTTTAGTGACTTTCGCTTCCTTCTTTGGCACTTTCGTTACTTTCGCTTCCTTCTTTAGTGACTTTCGCTTCCTTCTTTGGCACTTTCGCTTCCTTCTTTGGCACTTTCGCTTCCTTCTTTAGTGACTTTCGCTTCCTTCTTTGGCACTTTCGCTTCCTTCTTTGGTGACCATAAGGTAATTTGCTTCATATCTTTAATATTTGCGTTTACTTAAGGAAACAAAAAAACAATGTAAATTGTGAATTGTATCCTGGCATCAGCAGCAGCTCTGGACATGGATGAGTCTGACATTGTTGTTGACAAAGCTAATGTTGGAAGCCCTGCCCCGTCTTGGGGGAGAAAAGACATCTACCAGCGTGGCTGTATTACAAATTAGAAATATTTTCAACTAAATGTGCTGCAAGCATGGCGCCAGTTGGCCTAGTGGTTGGGTCACATGCTCTTTATGTCAGCACTGTGGTCCTCGAGGCAGATGACCCAGGTACGCCCCCGACCCTCAGCCCCTTTCTCGCATCTTATACCCCATTCTCTCTTCCCAGTTGCCTACTCAGTCCACTGTCCTATTTGCATTTAAACCCCCCCCCTTCCCAAAAAAAAGAAGAGTGCTGTGATCACAGCAACAAAAAACAACCAAAGCGAGGTCTGAACTGTGTTTTGTGTAGAAAACAATCACTACCAGCTCAAAAAAAGTGGCATAGATGGTCACAGGTCCTTAAGCTAAGTAGATTTTGTATTTTGTCACTCTGTTGTGTTACTTACCCCAATAAACATCTCACAGGGGGCCCCTCTTACATCACCATTATGTTCTAAATAAACGTAAATAATCGTGACTTTGATTTACAAACTTACGTTTTCCCAGGAACTTACGTTTTCTCACGCAGCACAACGACTCTGTCACATGGGATCCTCTTAGAGAGGTTTCCCAAAATCATTGCAGAATTTCCCTTTTTTGAGCCACTGCTATCGGTTTAAAGTTTGTGAGCCCTCGGGGGCCCCCTACCGGCCGGGGGCCACAAGCAGTTGCCTGCCTTGCCTGTTGACAAGCAGCGCCTCTGCACAGAAATATAACATGTGTTTTATGTGTTCAACTTTTAATGGATGTTAATGATTAGTGGAGATGGTAAATGTGTGCACACACAAATGCCATCCCAAAATAAGTCTGGGCCACGGTCCAGACAAAAGCCTGGACACACCCCTGTGGTGCAGATAGCATGAGGGGGTTAACAGTGTCTGGTCTTGTTTTGATTGGTAAATTAAGTTGATTAAATCTGGGAAAAGTGAGACATCTTCAACAATCACGTTGATTAGAGCTGGGAAATATGAGACTGGTAAAATGCATCACAGGCTGAATGGGGTTTCTGCAGGGGAAACTCCTGCCAACTGAAATCTGTTATCATCACAGCAGGTCCAAGACCAAGAAGTGTGAGAAAAGACCGTCACAAGAAAATAACTGTATTGTTAGTCAGACATCCAGATTAAAAAGAACAACCACTCCTTTATCATCCAATATTTTCATTACTGTTGATTTGTCTTTATTTTTTTTTAAGGCTGAGGCAAAAATAAAAAAAAAAATAAGGAAGGAGATGGTTTGGGCAGAGCTGTGTGTGTGTTTTTTGTTTCCCGGTAGTAACCGACTCATCACCTTGGCCAGCCTCCAGCCAATGCGGGACAGAAAGGAGTGGCAGAGATCCAGCGCTGCACTGTGTCTTTAAGCTCCAGTGAAATGTAGCGAGGAGAGTTGCATCCTACAGGATCATTGTGTTTGTGCACTCATTACGGCGGAGGGACCTGCGCTGTGTGTTAATATAAAGAAGGGGATACGGTGTATTTGTTGTTGTTTGTTTGTTTTTTTTAAACCACAGGATGGTTATTTTCGCTCTCGAAACGCATGGAGTAGAGTAAAAGGCTTGAAAACCGCCCAAACATGAGATGCCTCTGGGATGCCTTTACCTTATATTTTATACTGCTGCCAACAGGTAAGAAACACACCTTACAGAAGTCACTGAAATATTGCTTGAATATTTTGGATCGTGATTTTGACTACTTTAGACCTTTATTACGCTTCTACCCCAAATTGTTTTACAAATGTTCATATTCCTTGAGACATGCTGTTTATTGAAAATATATAATGATGTGATTGTAGCCTACTTTACGCATTAATAAAACTGTGTTTTTGGGGTTTTTTTTACAACTAAATTAATAATTCCATCCATACATTTTCTAGCATTTGCGCAAAAGTCTGTCCTCTAAGTTGGCTATTCCGCCTAGAAAAACACATCTTATGTTTATTCGTGTCACTGTGGTGTTTTTTTTGCACTTTATATAGACTTATTTGGGTGTGGAAAAAGCCGACAAATGCAGCGTGTGTTACTGCGCATGCTTGTTTTTATTGCGTGTTTTGTTACTAACGGGCGTACAGTTGTGGCCCCAACAGTGTAGGTGTTGTTTGTACGTGTGCGTGACGTTTTAGATAATGTGGTGTTTAACGGTGCAGTCCAATAACCTGTCAGGTCAATTTGCATAACTGTCTGTCGAGGTAAAAGAGGTGTTTTGGCTGACTTTCCTGGAAGGCAACAGTGTGTGTGTGTGTGTGTGTGTGTGTGTGTGTGTTGAGGACCATTAATAATTTAACCCATAAAGGGGACTATAGTTGTGTGCGCCCAAGCTCGGCAGCAGAAGCTACACACATCTTTTTCACAGCCACACACACACACACACCCAGCAGCACCTTGACATCTGAACTGCTCTGACATGCTGTGCGATGAAAGCTTTGTGTTTAGTCATACAACAGCCTCAGGTTCCTGCAGTGGAACCGTTTGCTTACTCAAATAACACAAACAGCAACTCCAGTAGCACAAATCCAAAAAGATAGCAAGCGGCCATAAAACATACTAAACAGTAACACAATCAGATATTTGTATTTTCGAAATGGGAGCTTATTTGCATCCTCATGTCTCTCCCACTGGGCCTTCTCAGTCCTGACAAGCCTAAAGGCACAACAGTCACATGAAAATCTTGTTCTTTAAATGGACCTTATCATGTGGAAATCTGCAAGAAAAATTAAAAAAAAAAAAAAAAAGCACAAAGAAAGAAAGATAACTTAGAGGGGGGATGGCAGTTAAACGGTTGACAGTTAAGGAAAAATGTTGGTTTAGTTTATGCATCTTAAGGCAATGGATTTAGGGGCCTTAATGTATGATTACTCAGCGGGTAGACTGCACATAATTATTGATTGTTCAATTGAGCCATAGTGGTCTGATAGCACTTTGTCTTAAGGGGCTCAGTGCCAATCATAACATCCTATTTAACCATCACATAGGGGACCATTTTCAATCCTATACTCTACCCTATAGAGCTGCAATAATAAGTAGACCACAGATAAATAATTGACAGCTATTTTGATCAGGCAAAAAAGTTATTTTTCATTTAAGAAAAAAAACTTGTTTTTAACCAGTTTTAAGGATGTTTCTTTGTCCTAATTCTTAACATAAGCTTTATTAACTTTTGGGGGAAAAAATGGCATGATTTTTTTGCTGTTTTTCCTCTACCTTGTAGGCGTACGATTAGTGGGTATAACTATCTGAAGACTAATGAAATGATCTTTAATGGGAGCTCTTATCCTCTGCTTTTGGCTCTTTGTGTATTGACATGCCTACTAGTATCATGTGGTGTATTCACACATGCACAAAAACTCCTGAAAGTTCCCAGAAATTTCCGAGGTGAGCTGCATCATGTAAACACAAAAAGCAGAATTTGTCATCCCAACTTTTCCACTTACGTATTTGACTTGTGTCCGTAGATCCATAAATATACAGATAATGCCTCCTGGTGTCCAACGTAACATCCTAATTCAATCAGGAGAGAAAAATGAATAAAGACAGTTATTTATTACAAATGATAACATGGAAATGTGACTTGACATGAAGACTTTGGCCAGGGACTCTATGGGTTGGTTGATGTGTTTGGAGAATGAATGAACAATTCTGAGCGTCTCCCCATGGAGTCCACACACTGGTGGTGGTGGTGGAGGTGAAGCTGATGACTTGTTGATACCGGATGGGTGAAGAATTGATGGATGATGAAGGGTGCACAAAACATCAGCATGAAGGAACTAGAAAGAAGAGAAAGAATCATTTTTAAAAGAGGAGCAGAACGATGATAGGCTGACAATGAGGGAGGAACGCCATGCCATTGGTTAGATGAGTACCGCTGACGAGACCGCTGATTATCCAATGACAGCCCCAGAAAATGACAGCGAAAATAGTGAGCGTGTGTGAGAGGGAAAAATGAGAGACAGACCAGATCGTGAAGACAAATATAATGCCTTCCTGACTGAATTCATGCTAGCTTCATTAAAATGTACGCTTGAGGTTGCGGCGAGCTGATTGAAATATAGGAAATATTCAGGAAAATTCACTTTGTATCACACAATCTTTGTTACATCCTTTTCTTCAGGCCAGAATATAATTTTCTACTTTATGTGAGTGTTCTTTTCCACTCTCCAATCTCTGGTTGCTTTATTTGCCATCCTGGATTTCCACAGCATTGTTTTAGGACATGTCTTATGACACCAGGATTGGGCTGTCCTGAAACTTTCAGGGGTGTGTGTCTGAACAGAGATCTTTTTATGGGTTGGTTTTTGAAACAACTGTGATATGTATTGTGCATAAAAAACACAAATGCTGAAACTTGTAAAAGCCCTTATTGCTGGTTTTGAGACACATGGATTTGCCTTCTCGGGTACTCCGATGGAAATTAAGATTCTGTGGCATGTAAACCAGATTTTAAAAACCTCTTATCACTGATCATATTAATGATCAGATGTCTTATTCGTCATGTTAACACTTGAATAAATTAAGATCAAAAACCAGGAAAACGTTTTTATTGCAGATGGTCATCTAAAGCCCTTCTATTCTATGTTTGTGGAGCTTTTAATTCATTTAGAAGTTACTGGAAGCAGCAGGGTTTTTTTCTCCCATCTGGGCTTGAATTTTACCCAAACTCAACTCTCCACAGACGACAAAAAAATAAGCGTCCAGATCCAGCATACGTCGAACATACTGCATGTCCTCTGTTTGCAGGGTGGTGCGAGCCAGTCATCTCCCCCAGCGGGCCTCATGTAGTAGTTCCCAAGAAGGGGAGGCTGGAGCTGCGTTGCCATGACAACGCCACGACGTCTGGCATCCCGTCGAGCATCCCGTCGAGCCTGAGGTGGCAGCGAGATAGGGCTCGCAGGCTGGAGGGGGAGGCGGAGGAGGGCGGGGTTGCTTACATCAGGATGTCATCGGTGCAGGTCTTCCACATGGGTCGCTACGTGTGCATCAACAACAGCACGCTTGAACATAGCTCCATCTATGTTTATGTGAAAGGTGAGTTTTAGGTGCAGAGAGGGCATGTGGTCGTACATGTGATCAATCCAAATGTATATCCATTTCTATTTCTATTACTAATAAGAAAACCAAGCACACAAAATAAATTAAATAAAGTTACAACTCGCTCTTTAATTGAAGTCTTAAAATCTTTTTAACTATGTGATGCACTTTGAATTGCGTTATGTATGAATGGTGCTCTATAAATAACCTTGCCTTGCCTTGCTTCATCCATGCAGACCCCCAGAGTGCATTCCAGCGCACCATGGTGAACAACATCCTGGTGCGCGTGGGTGAGAACTGCACCATTCCCTGTCTCGTCACCGACCCTGAGGTCAACCACCTGACTTTGGACACCTGCGACGGACGGCCTTTGCCCTCTGGCATGACTTACCATAGCAACCTCCAAAAAGGCGTCATCATCAGCAATGTGAGGAAGGAGTATGAGGGCTGTTACATCTGTGTGGGACAACTCGCTGGAGTCAAAGTGATGTCAAGCAAATACACTATGGATGTGCGACTTGGTAAGTGAAAGATTTTTAATGCTTTTTATATCAACGGTTAAGGTGTAGCAAAACCACATTTGTAATGTAGGTCACAAACAAGCGGAAACTTCTTGTTTTTTTGGATGTGTAAAAATCTGCAGCTGCCTGAGTGTCCACCTAAGGCAGGTGCAGGTTCACACTGTACATGAGATGATTTGTCGTATTACTCAACTGTTTTGATTTTATTTAGCCTAAAGCTCATTCACACATTTGCATAATTAGAGGTGCGGCTGAGTTTACATAGAGATGGGCGCTTTGTAGTTGTTTGCCAGGAGGCTGAAGCTCTACCTCTTTGCCTGTTGATAGATTAAGGTCTAAACCAACAACCATTGTTGGGCTTCATAACTCCCCTTCAGAAAACCAATGGGTGACCTGAAAGAGTCTTTGTTTTATAAGGTCAATGGTGAGAATTGATTAAAAAATAAAAGATGAGTTAGAGTGAAAGCTTTATGTGCAGCAGTTGATAAAAAGCCACCAAAAGGGAAACTTATGGTTCCTCTTTTAAAGTGTAAAATGTCTGCCTGAAGAGATTGGGATTTAGCATTTGCTAATGGCCATAAGGAAGTCTACCAGTGAAGCAAGCAACACAAAACAAAGCTAGCTCTGTCTACAAGTATAGTCTGTATGTTTATCAGTGTATTATCACTAAACCAATACACAAATGGGCGGAGGCTCAATTAGCCCGTTTTTCTTCACAATGGGATTTAATCAACTCCAAAATGCCTTTAGGAGCTCCAACCAGAGGTACCAAAACATGTGGTATGTTAAAGGCACAAAGTGGTGTTGAAAAACGAAGCCAATGTGAAAGTGGAATAAACTTTGAGGGTCCACTTGAGGCTGGCTGTAAAAGCCCAGGATGTCCCATTAGCACGCATGTTAAAACGCCCAAAACATATTAACACCCTGGAACGAATTCTGTATCTTTAGCTTTTTCTTCTTTGGTACGGGGGTCCTACTTCTCTGTAGCTCATCGATTTCGGTTTCATAAAACCTTTAGAGTTATTCCCAGATTTACACAGTCAGGTGGTTTGTTGAGTAAACGGGCAGGTGGACGTCTTGTAGCTGTTTGCCAGGACGCTTAAGGCCCGCCTCAGCTCAACCTCTTTGCCCTTCAGAATCCAATGGATGACGTCTCTGAGTCTGTGTCCATGCTCTATACAGACCATGGGTACAATGGTAGGCTGCTAGCTTATATTGATATAAAATGATATCTTCTATTGTTATTATACACAGATGGTTAGCGTGAAATAACAACGATTTTGGCCATCTTGGTTGTTTACAAAAAAGTTTATGATGCTTGAATTGGCCGACCTACAAACTTGTAGATACAACTGGTCCCACTTCTTTCAATATGCTAATTATCTTTAAGCACGCCAGGAAACAACAGAGTTGATGTTAATTTCCTTAGACAAAGTTAAATGAAAAACACACTTCAGACGAGTTCATCTAACTGTTGTCTCCCACAGACTGAGAGACATTAACATTGCTGTTCCCTGAACTGCTATGGCTACAAATCGACTTCAGAGACCATAATGCATTCTGGCTAGGTGCTCAGGGTCACTGCAATGAACAATCCTCCTTGAACTATCCATCCTGTAGATGTGTTCTGGGAAAAGCAGTTAAGCCCAAAAGTTTTCTTCTCATCTATATAAATAGTAAATGTGCCCTTCAAGCATTTTGACTTTGCGTCAGTGGAAACTGATCTTATTTCTGTTTGTCCCTGCGATGCATCAGCATTTTTCAGTCTGGGTCTGCAGTGGAAAGGAGACTAAACAGAGACGAGCCAAGACAGGCTGGGGGTTGTAATGTCCTTCTCACTGATGGAGAGAGGGAGTGAGGAAAAAGAGACGTGAAGGAGGGCCGGGGGATTAGAGTCCCATAGCTGAACAAAGCTTTTGTAACGGTGCATGAAGGCAGCGCTTAAGGGTAAATAGAATTACCACAGTCTTGGTCAAACACAACCGCTGAATTGACGTCAGCAGGCTGTTCATGTTGGAAGTTATTCATCCGGGTTTATGTGTCTGCAAGTGTCGCATATGCAAATACTGCACCTTGGCGATTTGCCATGTGAGTGTAGACGTGCATTACTGTGTGTTTGTCCTTCAATGAACTGCTGTGAATCAATAAGAGGAGTCAATTGCGTCAAAAGTCATTTTATTTATCGACTCAGATGTCTAATATTTAAAAATATTTTAAATAATTGTTTCGGCAAAAACATCCTCGTTTCACTAATTCGGACTGATGGATGATTTACTGTTGAAGGCCTTCTCATACAATAGAATAATTTCAGACTCATTAATGTCATGCTACTCAGAGCAAACAGTGCAAAGATCATGAACTAAGTGACCTAAAAGTCCTTGTGACTCCAGTTCAAGAGGAAATGCTTTGGGAGTAAATAGAACAAGGCTTTTGTCAGTGAGCTTATGTAAGTAAGATGACCACATTGATCACGTCTGATAATGTTGCCTCCTGATCCAGTGCCAGAGGTGACTCCGCTGGTGACTCTGTCCCAGAAAGACAGCGTCATCCTGAAGAAAGGAGAGCAGTTTGGGATTACCTGCAGCTCCACAAACATAAACCTGGAGTTCAGCCTCAAGTGGGATTTCCCTTCGGCAGCGGTGAGCTTGATGCATGTATTTCTGCGGGAACTGTTTGCCAACATGTAAGACTAATTGCAATCCTGGCTGTTTGGAAAAGAGCCAGGATTGCAATCAGACAATATTAGAAAACAAAAGTACCATCAAAAATACAAATAACAGCCAAATATTAAAATTATTAGGGCTTCATCTACAACAGTTAACAGAGAAGTTATCATTAAAAAAAAAAGATTTAGTGGTTTAAAGATGTGAAGAAGAGTTAAAATTATACAATCAAATACACAATAACTCCTTTGCTTTATATGATGCTATGTTGTGAGGTTTTATTAGTGTTCAATCAGGAGAGATAAGTGAATTAGGACAATTATTTATTACAATGGATAACATGGAAATGTGACCTCACAGAAAGATTTTGAGCTTGGATTCTATGGGTTGGTTGATGTTGTGATGTCAACTAAAGGCAGAGAAAGAATCATATTTAAAAGGGGAGCAGAATGATGATGAGCTTAATTTTATAAAATGGAAAAAATAGCATAACTGTGATTGGATTGAATGGAAACTCTACAACAACAACAATAATAGTTCACAGAAAAATGTACTGAACGGTGTACTTATAATAAATATTGATTGAATATTGTTGGGGGAGGGGAGGTTAGCATTACACACAAATAAAAATATAACAGACACAGGAATAAAACAATACTTCTAACTACAATATATGAATATGAAATATAAACAATGAGAAATATAAAGCTCCACTTTGAAATATGAATGACACAATGAGAATTATGAACAAGATTATGAAATACAAACAGAAATATAAACGTCAAGAAATATGTGCAACCAAAATACATTTAAACAAGAAGAAAATATAAAAACACTAAGAAATTGGATTAAATAAATATCTGATCACCTTTGCTTCTTTTCCCCGCAGCATCCTAATGTATCAAACGCCTCACACATGCTGCCTGGTTCCCGTGGTTATCAACGCGCCACCTCACTCTTCATCCCAGCCGTCAACCAATCAGACTCTGGAACTTACCGCTGCCATGCCCACAACGAGAGAGGCTCCAGCTCCACGGAACTGCAGCTAGAAGTCTGCGGTGAGCGTTTATGACCGGTTTTAATGGGTCATTGGCGTGTACAGGGGATTTTTTTCTGTTCAAACCTGACAAGTCAAACATTAAGATTGAAAACAAACTGGTTGACTGATCGCTTTGTCAGACATGAAGTTGACTGAGAAGTGATCTTTGGTTGTAACTTCACATGAAAGGCAAAGCCAGTTAGGTTTCTTAGTTTATAATAGTAGTACTCGAACTCAGGAGACCACTTTTTGAAGGTCTCGTCTCAGAATTGAAATTTATTTTACTCGGTCTCACACAGGGTGGACTCCGGATTTTAAATCAAGACCGGTCATGACCACCACTGATTGGCAATTTTTTCACATAATTTCTGTGATTAGAAGGAAAACACAATAATTTAAATTAATTTTATTTAGTTTTTGTTGATGATTTTCTGTGATACTTATGGTCTTGATCTTTTCTCTGTCTCGTCCTGCCTTGGTCTTGGTCTTGACTTGGTCTCGATCCCTAAATGTCTCTGTCTCAGAGCACTCTGGTACTCGGTATGTCTTGGTCTCGGTTAGTGTGGTCTTGACTACAACACTAGTTTATAGTACATTGACAGTCATTAATAAAACACCTGCATTTTCTTTGTCTGACACTTGCTGAGTGATGTAAATATTTATATATCCACAATCTCTTGCCTCTCCTTTTTACACTTTAGTTTCATATTAAATTTACACTATTAATATCAGCAGAAATTACTCAGGAAAACCGCGATGAGGGCGCATCATCTCAAGAATCTATTTTAATCTTTGCTCCTAATATTCTGCAAAGTCAGTTTAATACTACTAGATTTACAACAAAAACATAGTTAATAAAAGTGACCGGCTATCCGACCTAATTAAATCATGCATCGTAGTTTAAGTTTTTATTTTTTTAAGTTGTACAGTGTGTAGTCATCTCATTAGAAATAATTAAAGTGAATAAAAAATGTATTTTACACAACGTCCCTCTTCTTCTGTGCAGCATCAGTCTTGTTTTTTACCACATTATTTTACAGGAATTCACCATCACTTCTCATACTAATCTGACTGAAGCAGACAGATGGTGATTGTTGCTCCATATAATGTGCAAGCGCACACAGTCTGAAGTAGAAAGCCGCCATAGTTAACAGAGAAAGCGCAATACCAACTTTGTGCTACCCGATATCTCAAACTGCAATTTAAGGCTTTGTCCAGCCATCTTAGTTAAAGAAAGCCTCTTTGTGTAACCCGTTACACAAACAAATTTTTTTCAAATAAAATATCAAAACTTCAAATGAAACACTCACTTTCATACAACAATGTCCATTCATACTGAAAAAATCCTTTAAAAATAGGAGGAAAACAAAACCACAAGGTCAAGGAAAAATCCAGAAAGACAGTGAAGAGGGCACGGTAAGACGTAATGAACTGACACAGACGGGAAGGAACACAGTGATTAAATACACACTAGGTAATCAACAGACGCAGGTGAGATTAATGACACAGGTGACGACAATCAGGGTGGGGCACTAAATCACATAAATGTGAAAACACACAAAGGCAGGAAGCAAAACTAGACATGAAAAACCAGGGGCAAAAACTACAAAATAAAACAGGAAATACAGTAAATTATCAAAAAAAATGGGAATACAACATTTAAAAAACACAGAAGGAATACAGGAAACTCTAAAAATTCAACTTATAGCATAATCAGCAACATGTGAAATAAATAAAATACAAATAAGGAACAAATCATGACAGTGTCTTTCTGATGTCCTCCAGAGCTGGGCTTCATCACCATGTTAGGATCCCAGAGTCCGGTCCAGGCTGACGTCAAAGAGGGCGAGAGCCTGAGCCTCAGAGTAGAGTTCGATGCCTATCCAGCTCCGAGTTCTCTGTCCTGGTCGTACAACGACAAGAAGCTGCTCAACACTACAGAGCATGTCATCACCATCCACCGCCGCAAATACAGGTACAGGGAGTTCAAAATATTCACCTGCAGGTACACATACAGTACATGTGCACACAGAGGATTTGCATGTTTGTTTTATCAGATACATCAGCGAGCTCAGACTCGTGAGGGTCCTCGGCTCGGAGGGCGGGATCTACAAGTTCTTAGCCAATCACAAGGACGCGTCCGTGGAACATTCATTCCACGTTTATGTCAACAGTAAGTAGCTCTCACAGCTGTCTCACATTACTCAAGGTCATACAAACAAACTTGAGTATCTTTGCATTTCAAGTGTTCATTATGTATCTCTATTTTCTATGAATCTTCTCACTTTTTTCCAAAAGGTAAGCCAGTTATCGTTGCCCAGGAAGGTCCTGTTGATGGACAGGTGCGGTGCATTGCTGCAGGATACCCCGTCCCTAAAATCAGTTGGTTCTTCTGTGAGCTGCCCCACACAAGGTATCCCTAACATATAAATCACAATACTTTTACTGGTGGTTTCCACAGGAGCCGTGTGCACAGCATTCCTTCCCTGCTTTGCTTTTGCCCTGTCCAATGGATAGGGCTCCATTTCTGAAGTGTAAGCACCGCCATGAGGTTCACAAGATCACAGGAGAACTACAAAATCACACAGGGAATAAAGACAACAGGTTAATTTGTCTTTCAGAGGTAGATTTTTTTGATCATTAGGTGCCTGTTTTGACGTAATGGTTAAAAATTGACGGGACATACCATCAGGAGATTGCGTTTTATTTTGAAATTGAGCAGATGCTCTATGCATTCCCTTGTCTGACGTCCTATTCGGGTTGATTTGCTCTGTTCTGCTTGACGCGTGGCGCTGGCGGACCGCTGTGCTTGCGATGGAAACATGAGCATTGACTAAAAAGGGCACGATCAGCTCTGGTGTGCTGAAGGAACGTGCTGCACACTAATCCTTTGGAAACTGCCAGTCAGAGTGTTTAATTAATTGGTTTCCTTAATGTGATTGAAAAGACTAGTAAAAAGATGATTTCCATTTCCGCCACCTGCACTCTTTCTTCGCTTCCTTCATTTATTGGAAGACTGGTAAACCGTCTATTTTCACAAATGACATGTTAAACTAATTATCACAAACTTGGGATTCTTTGGCGCATATTAAAAAGCTGTTACTGAACAGCAGCGTGTTCTTCTCACAATAATCTCAGACATGACTCATCCTCTGTTGTTTCGTCTGGCAGTTCCTCGGAGAGCGGGAGATGCTCGTGGGAGCTGAAACAAAAGTTTGTTAAAAGGATTATATCATCTTATAGTCTCATTAGCATTCAGACTAATAAGCCAGCTGGCAGTTTTGACTCTTGGTCAAGGAATAATAAGCCTTTTATGAGTTTGGTTGAAAAGGCGTCTGGCTTTTATGATGAGAACAAGTTATTTATCAAAAATAATAACTGATTATTAAATCAACAAAGGGAAGGGCTGTGGTTGACAATGATGTCATAAAGCATTTTTATTATCTCAAAGTAATGGGATATTTAATTTTCATTCTGGTAATAGTAGCTTTAGTTTATTTACACAAACGTCTTAGGATCTAGGGGAGTTCGGGTAGATTTGTTCTAGTATCGGTTTGTTACGATACCAGAATTTTAAACTTAGATACCATACTAGTAAAAATAAAACAAATAAAGAAATCTGTTTCAAAACCACGACAACAAAAATAGAAGTTCTAGGCACCCAATATTGGGTTGTGTCTTGTTTTGAATTTAGTCCTGCACACTGTCTAATTTGTACAAATAGACTGGCGACATTTCTCTGTCAAATCTCTGAGGATTTGGGTATCAGCTGACATGTGAATTTGAATGGAGCTTCACTGCTCTCTCTCTCTCTCTCTCTCTCTCTCTCACAGCAACTTAATGATTAAAGATCTGTAGATCTGCGTAAAATATTTAAGAAAAGCAATCGGAAAAACTTCTGAGGAATTCTAGAGACAGAGTGACAGAATTTAAACAACAGAATCTTAAGTACTTAAGGAATGTAGTGAGAAAGATTATCTGTCAGATAAGATGACGTTGGAAGAAAACTGAAGTTGGCTGAAGTGCAGAAATGCAGAGATGAAAAAACCGAATTATTCCAATTTGAGGAAACACAGAAAAATATATGAGACGATATCTAAGTAAGCAAAAGTTTTGTAAAATGTGTTTTATCATAAACATGTTGTACCAGTCAAAAAAGTCTCTCCTGTGATTTCTTAATCATTACATTGAATTGTAAACACTAGGGATTGCTCTCGTTGTAGAAGTTACAGAGGATAATGTGACTGCTGGCTGCTTTGTAACCCTTCAACAGGTGCTCACATCTGCCCAATGCCACCCACTGGGAGACTACGGAGGTGATCACTGTGACAGAGTCCGCCTTTGGTAGAGCGAGGTGGAGAGCCGACTGAACGTGAGCAAGGAGCACGCACACTACCACACCCTGGAGTGTGTGGCGAGGACGGAAGGGGAAGAGGCCTACACCCTGTTCTCCATCAGTGGTATGACAAATGTTGTCTCATATGTACAAAGATGATATATTAGTACACACTTATGGTACACTTACACACACACACACCCACACACAAACATAGACTCTGTTTCTGCAAAGGCCAGGTGCGTGATATCTGGGTGCAGATTGAATGAGATTAGTGAATGCTGACTGTGCAGGCTGGGATTATATGGTGTAGCTCAACTAATCCTCTTCAACACAAACAATAGTGCTGCAGCTGTCTACTAGAGGCAAGATAAAGCAAGTTTATTTATAAAGCACATTTTTATCAACAATGCAATTGCTTCACACAAGACTTACAAGCCCCAGGGAAAAGGGAAAAGAAATGCCAGAAAGGACGCTTAAGAATCATTAAAACTTTAATTAATCAAAGAGAAGATCAACTAAAAACAGCAAAGGGAGTTTGTTGAAGATAAGTGGGTCGGATAGATTTTTTTATTGAGACCTTTAAAGACGTTCGAGAGTTTTTCCAGGTGCTGCGTATTATTAGTAGTGCTTCTGATACTCAGCCAGTGGGAATAACAGATGCCCTGACATCTACCTAGGTCCAGTGTTAGTGCAAGTATAACTGAGGTCAACAGTTTGCAGCTGTATTATTTTTACTACAATTAAACAATTAAACAATGTTGCAATGTGTTTCTCAAAATATGAAAGGAAATAGAAATAAACTAGATCCATTTCAAAGTAACAAATCAAATAGAAAAATCCTTAAAAATAAAATCTAGTCCTTTAATGTTGGATTTGGGATCGAAGGAGTTCAATTAGCTATATTGAAACCTACTACCCGTGTAGTGTTACTGATGGTTTCTTATCTGGTTTTCAAAGATTTGAGCGAGCCAGATGTCCTCTGTGGCAGATCCTAAAGTTGGCCAATCGCCAGATCTCTTCCATGACCAGAGTCTCTCTGGGCTCTTCTCTCGCCATCACTGAATCCTCCAGATTTTATTGTTGGGCAAAAATGCCAAAATCAAAAACCAAGCGAGGTTTCAACAGTAAAAGACTTGAAAATTGCCCCTGTCATTCACAGTTGGGATTCTTTCAAAAGATTAGCTTGTTAGCTTGGAATACCACCCTTTAAGGACAATTTTATAGCATTTTATGCTTTAAAGTAGCATGTAGCGTCCTTTATACTCTCAATTTGTGCGCCACCCTCTTGGGATAATGTAGCTGTTAAACAGAAGAGGTCCCAGGTTGGAGCCTTGGGGAACTCCACATGTAATTTTTGTGTGTTCAGATGTAAAGTTACCGATAGACATTAAGTAGTCTCCAACCTTAAGATGCAAACCAGTTCAGCACTGTGCCAGAATGTGTGTAAAGGAAGACGGTGTGATAGTGTGTGAGCATGTGTGTGTTTTTCTACCAATAAAATGTTGTTTTACTTATTACAAATGTTCAACATATTTTCTGATCACTCGTGTGTTTCTTCTCAGAGCGCCTCGTCCCTCACAAGCTTTTCACTCCTCTTCTCAACTGCTTGGTGGCCACTGGCATCGGTCTCAGCCTCATTCTGGTGGTGCTGCTCTATAAATACATGAAGGTAATGTTGTAAAGATATTGCAAAATCATTACTTCAGAGGAGAAACATAATTTAATCAGAGTAAAAGTATGATCATAAATCTCTCATAAAGCCCATAAATCAATGGCCATCGAAGCCATAAATTACTTCATAGAACACTTTACGTTCATTCACATCCATTTGATATGTAATCTTACAGAAAAATAAGCATTCGTTTTTGGCAAAAGACCCACTCTTATTTACTGACTCATGCCTCCATCTTGATTTTGGTTAAAGTTAGAAACATCGTTTTGAGATCAGACTAGTTTTGTTGTAAGGAGATTCATCATAGAAAAGTGTCAGTAAGCCTTTTTTAATCCATATGAATGTGTCCTAATGAATTTGAAATAATCAATCATCCATTCAGAGTGCACACATGCTGCAGTTAAAGGCTTTTTTGACACTCCGATCGTGCATCAGGCCATTATCGTGCCCCCACGGTGTGCAGCCTTTGTTGCACTCAGATGAGTCAGCCTCGCAGTGGGATCATCAGGGGAAAGTCTAGACTGACAACTTAAGTGCATCGAGTGATCTAAAATGTTGTGGAGGAGTGATGAGAACACACGTTTGATACACAATTATGTACTCACACATAAACAATATAAGGTAAGATGATCTAACATCTCTCTGTATGAATTCCTCCAAACCTGAACAGAAACCAAAGTTCCAAATCCAGTGGAAGGTGATTGACAGTATCCATGGCAACAACTACATATATATTGACCCCACCCAGCTGCCGTATGACTCCAAATGGGAGTTCCCTCGACAGAAGCTTCGCTTTGGTATGAGAGCTTTAACGTGTTTGTTTTAGGTTTATTCTGTGTAAGAGAAATCCAGTCTGTAAACATGCAAACATGTTGGGTTTCATTTATAGTCCCTTCAAACTATTTTCTTTTCTTTTGCTTCTATGATGTTAGGCCTTGATGTTGTACGTGCAAACTATGAAACTAGAATGTTTCATTAAATTAAGTATAAACCATTTTTAAGCTACAAGCAGCTTGTTGAACACATCCCAAATGCTTGATTTAAACACAAGTCCCACCTCTGACAAGGCACAATAGCCAATCATAGTTCAGGATTTTAGTAGGGGCACTGGGATGGCCAATTAAACTTCTAGAGTGGCCCTGGCCTACCCCTGGCCCCGCCCCTGGTTTTGATACCATGGCAAAAATATAGAATTCCTAGGCTCTCAATATTGGGTCATTTCTTGTTAAGAAATACCAAAAATTGTAAACTCCCGTCTAAATTATTCACTGGAAACGGTTTGCTCCTTTTTTCTTTCACCAGTGGAAGGTGTTGTTTAACTTCTATTTTTATTTGATTTTTTTTCTTCTTTATTAATCCCTAAGGGAAATAGCTTGGGTACTTTGGATGCCTTCAATCATTTAAAGATGGATATTGTATCCTTTTAAAAATACATGGTACTGGATTCACATACAGTAATGATCGGATGTCATTTAGTTAGTTTGTTAATTTAACTTTTCAAGTGATGTGTGTGTGTGTGTGTGTGTGTCCCTAAAGGTAAAGTCCTGGGCTCTGGGGCTTTCGGAAAGGTAGTGAGGGCCACAGCATACGGACTCTGCTCTGCAGATACTGTAACGACCGTCGCTGTTAAGATGCTCAAACGTAAGTGTGTGTGTTGCCCTGTTTATCGTCTCACTCTCACTTCCTGTAGCAGTTTTTTTTTATCCTATAAAGCTAAATAAATGTGTCATTGCCTTTGTTTTTCAAGGGTAAAAGCTCCACTGGGGGTTTAGGGATTCATTCCCTCACTTTTACAGTTCCAGTTTAATGAATTCTCTTAAGACCACTTAGCTGTGTCCTCTTGCTGTCTCACTTAAACTCAGCATGGAAGAATATTTGAGTCGAGTTGCAAGTGATTTGCAGAGCTTGTATCATGTCATGTTTATTTTGGATAAATTGGTTGAATTATTGTCTTTAGAGCACTCATATGGACAAATCATTATTTATCTAAGTGGACAAATAACTGTTATAGTGCTCTGTATATCAGGGAGTGATTTCAGACACAGTCCGTCTCTGCTTGTCTAGGCAATATATGAGACTGTGTAAGAGTTTATAAATGTCCTGATGATGTCATCCTAGCCAACGCTCATGCTACGGAGAAGGAAGCGCTGATGTCAGAGCTGAAGGTGCTCAGTTACCTCGGAAACCACGTCAACATCGTTAACCTGCTGGGGGCCTGCACCGTCGGAGGTGAGACCAAACTGAATTCATTACACATGAAGACGAGGTTTGATTAGGTCTGGACACTGTAAGCCTCTTGCACCCGGCACATGTTTATTACATATTCATTGACTGACTCGTGTGTTACAGTGATTGTATGTAGAGATCCTGCACACGGGTTGATGTGCTGACTTACTCAAAAATCAAAATCAGATATTGGACAGTGAGTACGTGATGCAGTTTGACTGGTCACAAATCTTCTGTGCATTGGATCAATATTCTCTACCTGTCTAGCCCTCAGTATTGATTATAATGCAGCATTTGAATTAAGTTTCCACACAAGTATGCATGAGTCGGTAATTAAGGAAAAGGCTCTCAGGACTAAAGATTTTTCTTGTTGGTGTTCGGCATGAAAATGTCCCAATTGAGTTTTTTTTTTTTTCCCCCCAGTATGTTAAAATACAAAACAAATGACATACACAATCTTCCCTGGCCTCCATTGTTAGAGCGTTGTGTCTCTGTTTCTCTCTCATTGTAATTTGCTGTCATGTGCTTTGAAAAACCACTGAAAAGGATGGTTTTCTTTTACATGTCTGCATCCTGCCAGGCCCAATTTTGGTGATCACCGAGTACTGTTGCTATGGAGACCTCCTCAACTTCCTGCGCAGAAAGAGAGAGTCCTTCCTTAACTCCCAGGTTGGCGATGGTTACTATCGCAACGTCTCGAACCAAGCTGAGCCTCCGAGGTACGTCTGAATGTGTGTTTGATCAAATACCGATTGCCAATGCGAAAATGGTTGACAGCATTTGATGGTTTTGTGTGTTTTTTTTTTGTGTGGGTGTGTGTGACCATGCAGCAGAGATATGACTGGCACAGGATATATGACCATGCGTCCCTCTGAGAAAGAAAGGTGCTCCCAGTCAGGTAGAAAGTCTAACTGTACATTCCTTATCTTCAATTTTAGCAACCCACTAACAGCCTTACATGCTGGAGTGACTTTTTGATCTTTACCTAGATGACAAAGACGAGCTCTCTCTGGACGCCGAAGACCTCCTCAGCTTCTCCTACCAGGTGGCCAAAGGGATGGAGTACATCACTTCCAAGAACGTAAGGCGTTCACAGGCTGTGTGCTTTATTTATAGAGTAGTTACAGCAGAGATTTAATGGAGCTGCTGCTAGTTTATAAATCATAGCATGGCTCAGGGCCAACATGTGCATGGGTTGCTGTCTGCTAATAGTTCCTCTAAGATCAGAACTTAACAGGTTGACGCTGCATTTACATTTCGATCCTTTAATGTGACACCAATAAATTCAGCTTTCTTGTGGTTTTTTTTAGCTGGTTAGGAAAGCGAGTGAAATGAATACCAATGCCTCTTTGATTGATTGATTGATTGATAGACTGCAGAAGGGGAGGTGTTAGAGTGAGTAACAACACTCAATAAAGCCGTTTTCACATATAGTATGCACTCCTGAAAATATCTAGCTCCTCACAGCGGGAGACTATGCCTGTCAGGCGTGTTGACGTGCACAGAGATCGTAGTGGTTGCGTGCAGACACTCTATGCACCGCGCAGCAGTCACAGTGTATAAACGTCACTCCCCCTCCTATTGGCTCGAGGTGAATTCTCCGTGTAATATCCTGCTGCGTTTACTCACGCGGAGCTGATGTGAGCATGCATGGAGTAGAGTAGAGTTTAGTGTTGGTCGCCATCTCTGAGCCCTTTGTCCCATTAAAAATGTAATTTGAATGCATCAGCAAATGCACTGATATTAAACTGTGGAGTAGCTGCGCTGTTGTGCATCCTGTATGTGTGTGGAAAAAGCTCAGTGGACGTCAGTTATGAACTTAATTATGCCGATCTTTTTAACACAAGCTCTAAAAAGCAGGAACACGCTGCGTCACAGATTTCAGACTTTAGACCTGGTTTTAATTTGTCTAAAGTGCAGTTGATTTCTGCTTCCTCAAGACAGAAACGCGCCACCTTTGAGCCTGACCACACCCCATTTTACGACAAACTCACGCCATGGCTCAAACAGGGGTGCAAGTTCATTTCAAAGATAACTGCTCAGGTAGAAAACAGGAGAGAGACACCTCAGCTGTCAGCCAAGACAAGAAACTTTGCTCCAGACGTATATTAGGGCTCTTAAGCTCTGATATTTGTAGTTTAAAATTTTAATTTACACTCCCTGTTTTCTTGGCTCAGCCTCTTCTTCTGCACTTTGGTCGCTTTAATTCGATTAGGCCACTTTAATGCATTAATGTCTAGACTGTTACTGCCCTGAAACACGACTAAAACGTTTGTTACTCATCTTCTTTCGTATATTCGTATAAGTCAAATGGAATTTCTCTAATTTCCCTTGCTAAATATGAAGTGATACTCCTTTGATGTATTGTGTAAATCATCTCTAATTGGCCTTTTTGTGTTTGGTTTGTAACAACACTCGCCTCACATTGTTTGAATGTGTATGCGGTGAGTCCGACGCATGCTGCAGAAACTGGATACGATGTCAGGGCTTATTTCTGTGTGTGTGTGTGTGTGTGTGTGTGTGTGTGTGCGTGTGTGTGTATGTGCAGTGTATCCACAGGGATCTTGCAGCCAGAAACATCCTGCTGACTCACGGCAGGGTGGCTAAGATCTGTGACTTTGGGTTGGCACGAGATATCACCACGGACGCCAGCTATGTGCTCCGAGGCAATGTGAGTCACTCATTCTTGATCCTGTTTTCCCTTTTTTTATTCTCTTTCTTTAATAAATCTTCTTAATGAACCTGAATGGTTTAATGTACACAGTAATTAGATGTTAAAGCTGTAGGGATGCAGATAAATAAATTATTATTATATTTATCAAACATGGGGAAAAAATGAAAATAGTGAAAAAAAAAGTCTGAAGAAAACAGACTGACGTTATCTAATTGTGTCCTTTTTCCAATCTTAAACAGAAAGGTAAAAATAAAACATGTTGACATTAATTTAAAGGCTGGGTTGGTAATTTTCCTCCAGCTATACTTTTTAAGATTTTGGTTAAAATTGTCTTTAGGTCCTGACAGAAATTAATAACTCATGTTCTCTGAAAAAGGAACAAAGAAAATCCGTCATCTGTATCAGTTTGTAAGCCTGTAAAAACTCTACCTCTTGCGTGCATTAGCCCACACTCAAAGCGCGTCACCGATGACAGAGTTTATTCTGAGTTTGTCGTTGGCTGTTGTGAGTAGTAAAATAGTCTAATAGTTTTTTTTTTTACATGTATTATGATAAAGTTTAGAGTTTACATACCGCTGAATGAGACGACGTAGTTTCTACACAATGTAAGTGACGAGCTGAGCTCCGCTTCTGGAGTATTGGCACTCGTGCATGTAAGTGAGGAGGCGTGGCTTTTGAGGGAGCAGAGAGGGGAGGAGGTGGGTGCAGACGAAGCACTGAAGGGAATGCTACTTTCAAAATCATGCCAGTTTTCGACAATTACCAACCCTGCCTTTAAGAAAAGAAAGTAAAATAAATCCTCATAATTTAGTCCTCTGGAGTGATTTACTGTAACTTCTCATTTACACAGACGGAAGGAAAGAACTAAATGTTCCTGCTCACTGTCTCAGCTGTCAAAAAGGGTTTCTTGTGAATGCTCTATAATGGAAAAACTCAATCTTTTTAAGGGATTTGTTTTATTTTAAGTAATGAAACTAAAAGGAACACGGTCCATACTGCTGTTGTGATCGCTGCTCTCCCCTCCTGCAGGCTCGTCTGCCCGTCAAGTGGATGTCTCCTGAGAGTATTTTCGACTGCATCTACACCTACGAGAGCGACGTTTGGTCCTACGGCATCCTGCTCTGGGAAATCTTCTCCCTGGGTAACGTTTCCAGTTGTTTCATAATCGCTAAGCTTTTAATATCATCCGTTTAAAACCCGGGGCCTGTATAAGCGGCTCTGATTATGCTAAGCAACAACACAACTTTGTGGACTGAAATATACTGTGAGATAAGAAACGCATCTCCAGAAATCACCATCTGAGTTTCTAATTATAAAGACACAATGGGGTATAAAGTGTGAAAACTGTACGTGTGTGTTGCAGGTAATAGTCCGTACCCGGGGATGCAGGTGGGCTCTGCATTTTACAGGATGATTCAGGAGGGCCACAGGATGAACAGGCCTGTCTTTGCTCCTGTGGAAATGTAAGTGTGTGTTCTTAATTCGTTTTCCTAATGAGGGCTGCAACATTCGACGATCCTTTGTCAGCGTCACAATATCTGCAGACTCCATGAATTGATTTAAAAGCTTTATCTATACAGCCCTAATTCTCCCGGCTGCAATATAATTGAAAAAATCAAATCCATTTACCATTTGAGAATATTAATTACTTCAATGTCTTAATACACAAACAAATGCTGTCAAAATAACGGAGATATTCACACACACTTCTTCCATTATTTTGTTTACTGGCTGTGTATCCATACTCCGTGGTAAGCCTTCACATTCCCCCATGTTGAAACTAAATCTGACCTCTGCAGGTACGATATGATGTTGTCCTGCTGGAACCACGATCCTCTGAAGAGGCCGTCCTTCAGGAAACTGGTGGAGAGGACGGAGCTGCTGCTGTCAGAAAATACTAAAAATGTAAGTATGAACAATGAAATGATGGACGTCTTTGACCATTTTTTTTCTATAGATTGTTTTTTGACATTTTTCTCTTCATTAGATAATAAAAGTTAAGGTGCAGATTAGAATGAAAACAAATGAATCCAGATAAGAGTTATTCTATGATAGGAGTTTTAGGCCCCTATGATGTCTCACATCACGTTTAATTTTTACAAGACTAAAGAATCGTAACGCGGAGCATGTTAGAAAGACTTGGAGCATCCGGTTCATAAGACAAAGGGTATTTATAAGAGAGGAAGGCTCTAACAAAAGACCCTGTCAATCCATAAAAACCAACAGATCATCTGTTCATTCAAAGCCGTGTCTTCTTGTGATTCACTGAATTTTAAACAGGAGACAGGAACAGTTCAAATGTGATTTATTGTTGTATTTTATTATAATTAAGTCGCTTGTATTCATCTTGCGACCCTTAGATTTATCCCAGGCTAGTGTTGTAGTCAAGACCAGAGTGCTCCGAGACCGAGACAAGACCAAGACATTTAGGGATCGAGGCAGAGTCAAGACCAAGACCAAGACTAAGGCAGGGCAAGACTGAGACAAGACCAAGACCATACACAACCCCCAAAAAGAAATCATCATCTTGTGTTCATTGGGTGTGTCACTCACTTAGGCCGTCAGTCTGTGTGTCATACTTACTCAGTTTCATAACCTTGCATAGTCACCGCTTTCATAAATACAAAGGGCAAAGACAGAAGATGTTCAACCCTTTTAGAGACATTTGGGAACATTTATTTGCTCACAAACTTCTCTACTAAAGACTTAATTATGCAAAGTTTCCCAAAATGCTCACTTTCATATCATAAGCCTCACTCATACTACTCGGAGAACTGGGGTTATCTAAATAACCTAAAGTTTTGTTGTCCTCAGGTGTACCTGAGACTGAGCAACAACACTGGTCAAGCAGAGCAGCAGAGGGCGCCATCACGGAGGCTGAGCTCAGTCTGCAGCACGACAGCACCCACCCAGCCTTTACTGCAGAACACTGTTGACGTCTTCCAAGACTATGTCTGATCCACACACACACACACACACACACACACACACACACACACACACACACACACACACACACACACACACACACACACACACACACACACACATATACAAACATAAACGCTACAATGAAACACAACTTCCCCTACCTCCCTGATCATTCACTCCTCGCACCGCGCAAAGTTCAAGAGCCAGGCCCACCCTGGAATCAAACTAACAACACATTCAGTCTAACTAACCTTCAGATGCACAAACACACACACACACACACAAGATGCACACAGATACTGTAAATAAAGGACCCTGCACTGGGCTCTCAGTATTGGCCTCTATCTAATCTCCCCGATGGCGTATTGATCTCTGTGGTTGGCATTTCAGGTGCACGTCTATATACAGCAGACTCCGGCACTAACATCAGATCTAACTGCACCCATCAGCAGCAGCGCGAGGAGTTCTGGCTCACATTCAGCCTTAGATTACATCTTCAAATGCTTTGGGGAAAACACAGAATACAAGGACGAGAACCTGACCTTGGGATAAGGATTAGATAAAGAGAGTTGGTGTTGTGATGAGTGCACTGCAACTGTTTTTTTATAGTTGTTTGTTTATTTGTCAGATTTGTTTTCCTTTGAAAGGTTTTCTTGGTTGGGAAAAACACTTATGTGAATTTTATGTCTAGATTTAAATGAGAAGCTGGAGACCACCTACACAGTCTGTGCATTAAGTATGGAGCCAGAGCCATTAGCTTTCAGCCTAGCTAAGCATAAAGAGTGGAAACAGTTAGCTTGTATCTGTCAATCTTTCAAATGCTGCTTGACTGGTGACCTGATTTGAACCCAACTGGTCCCCATTTAAAAATTCACATAGAGTACATACTTAAGGTGGGAAAAGTTGGAGCTCATGAGGTTAAATGTATGTTGGAGTAATCCCAGGTTAAGTCTGCAGAGGGCGCTAAACAGCTTGTTCTGCAAATCATGCGATAGTTTCTCGATATGAAACCAAGAGTGTCATGAAACGGCGTCAAGCCTCTGCAGGTGGAGCTGTTGAAACCTCTTACAAAATTTGTCCTCTTCCAGCACTGGATAGCAGCCCTCCTCTGGCAGCCCTGCAGCGTTCTGTCTGCTCTGCGGGAAGGTTTACAGAGAGCTGGCCAATCAGAAGAGAGTGGGCCTTAAAGAGACAGCAGCTTAAACGAACCGTTTCAGGCAGAGTCTGAAATTTTGTTTTTTTACACGTTCATATAAAATATAGATCAGGAGTTTTTTGAGCCGCAAATCCTGCAAAGCTGCTCTAAAGGTTTCACAGACTGACAACATGAAAGGTGAACATGTGTATAAAATGGGATCTTTAACTGGATAAAGTGTGCATCCACTGATATGGGGCACTGTCAGTCAAAAAACAACATTGCAGCCCATTCCAAAAAACCCCACATTGCCGATTGGATCAAAAGCCAATGTGGAAATCTGAAACCCAAACAAGTCCAAAAAAAATGAAGGAAATGAAACGAGGCCTAACTGCTCTGAAAAAGCGTCTCCCTTGAGTAGTCAATTCAGTGACAGCTGGCCCTGTCCATGGTGCTGAATTGGCAGAGAACGGCTCCAATTTCAAAAACATGCAACAAAGTCTCTCACTCTGAGCACTTGTGAAGACCCCTAATCAGCATCATGCAGAGAAAAAGTCCAGAACATTTTGGCAGTTCCTGGTAAAACAACAGTTTTATAGTAAAAAGCTAAGCTAACTGGTGATGGCTGTACTTTCTATTCAATGTTACAGACACTAGAGCAGTATCACTCTTCTCATGTAACCCTTGGCATGAAAGCAAAAACAGTGTATCTCCCCAACACATTAGACTGTCACCTTTACACCTTATTCAAGTCACAAGACAAACACATGTCGAGGAGGAGCAGCACCCTTGAAAATAGAAAAGTCATAATACTCCTGATTAGAGCCCGACCGATATCGACCAGCCGATAATATCAGCCGATATTAGCATATCCAGTGACTATTGGTATCGGCTAATTCTATGCACAGATATGCACCGATATAACTAGATTAATTCCAGAGCAGTTCTCTGCCACCAGTGGAGGGCGCTATATGGATTATAACAAGCATGATCACTCTCCTGAGTATTAAGCGGTGATGCACGTCCATGCTCAGTTACTTTCCAGTTCAGTGACCATCTTGTCTATCTTTTCCTCAAATGTATTTGGGTTGCATCTGCATTTTAGGGATCAACGCAATAAATGTGTATATCTATTTTGATCTTTCTCTACAGATTGAAAATAGATTTAAGAAAGATATCGGCCGATATATCGGTATCAGATTTTTTTCCCCCTCCCCAATATCGATATCAGTATCGGGCCCCAAAAATCCTGAATCGGTCGGGCCCTACTCCTGATGTCTGGTCAAAATGAGCCCGATAAAAGGTGGCATGCAGACGATTACTCCTTATGAAAACTAAAGCCATATATTGGGGAAGTGCTGATTCACACCTGTATCTAGTAGCTTTGAATACTGTGACTTACAAAGACCGACTGGTGTATTGTGGATGTTTGTTTTATTTAGGATTAGCTTTGTTTTAGTTTATTTCGTAAAGCCAGGACGGCCAGGTGTTTATGGTGGATTGTGTTGATCTTTCTACTTGATTTATGTCGAACCTGTATGCAATGTAAATACAATAGAGATGTGCCTTTAGATTTTTTCATAATACTGAATATCATTTGGTTTGTGACATGGTTAATGCTTAGAGGGCAGCCAGCAGAGAGCTTGTGTTTGCTGGTTTTGAGGATCATGAAGTTTTGATACTGTTGGATTGACTTGTTGTAATAATAAAGAAAGTACCTGTGATGGTAAAACCGACTGGAGTGTGTCCTTTGTCGCTCATTTTTCAGCTCATCAATTCCTTTTATGTAGACTAGACCGCCCCAAATCACAACACAATCTATATAATGAGACATTACATTGATATCCGTCATGAGTAAGCACTTGGAGAACGACGGAGAGAAACTGTCTTTGAACAGGAAGAAACCTTGGGAGATCGAGAGTCATTGGAAGACAGCACTTTGCAGCGACTGGATTGGCTGAGACTGGGGCGTAGAGAGGAAGACAAAGAATTAGATGATATAGACACAAACCTAGAGGATAAAGGAGACTTAAAATAATGCCAATGATAAACGTAGAAATATGAAATACAATAAGAATTATAGCAATAGCAGCTGTATACGAGGGAGTATTAGGGCCACATTAAGGGGATTTTACAATTCTTCAATTCACTTAGCAGACGCTTTTATCCAAAGTACGTACATCAGAGAGTAAGTACAACACAAGCAAGAATCTAGAGAGGAGGAAACAACATCAGTAAGTGCAAACAAACAGCTTTGAGTTCGATCGAACACACAGGTGCTGACAGGCACTGCACAGAGCCTTCACAACAGGGTCCTAAGACGTAATAACTAGACTCTTCTCCTGTCGCCCCCCCCGATGGAATAAACTTCCAAACTCCATTCAATCTGCAGAGTCCCTCTGCACCTTTAAGAAAAAGCTAAAGACCCAGCTCTTTATGAATACCTACGATCTTAATGATGATGATGATGATGATGATTTTGTTTGATAACGATGATTTGAAGATGGTTTCTATACTGATTAGAGCTCTCAAGAACTGCTGTTCATGTTTGACTTTGCCTCTGGTCACTTCCTGTCAGCACCTGTGTGTCCAATCGGACTCAAAGCTGATCGTTTGCACTTACTGACATCGTTTCCTCTTTTCTAGATCATTTCTCGTGTCGTTCTTACTCTCTGATGAGCGTCCCTTTGGATAAAAGCGTCTGCTAAATGAAATGTAGAATTGTAGTATTTTTATGCATGATAATGATCTCAGCACTTCGGCATGTCCACAGCAGCAGGCGAGCGGCATCAACGATCCTCAGGAACCTACAAGACGATGAAGCTTGAAATATTGCAGAAATATAAAAACTAACTAACAGGCATTAACGCAGACAAAAGGAGTTGATGAGCACCGCCATCTCTAGAGCCACACTTCATCAAATTCTAACAATAAACAACAACAACAAAAAAACAAGATGCAGCAGCCATGTGTCACGTATAATATTTGCAACTGTTTTTATTTTCAAATTGACCAAGAGGGGAGAAGGGGCAGGGCGGAGGTTATAATATAATAATAGCAAACATTTGTCTTCAAAATATTGATTATTATTACGTTTGACGTTTTGGGGGGGGGGGGGGGGGTAGATAAAGGAGCACAGTTCAAGAGCAGAAGGGATATACATACATACAGTACAGGTAAGCATAGCACCATTTTACACTGAATACTGGTGTTCTTCGCTTTGTGTGTGTGTACAGTATTATACTAGGACTAGAACTCTTTAGAACCCAAATTGTGTAGTGGAAAGGTGATCTGTGTATCTCTATGGAGGGGCGGGGGGGGAAGGAGAAGGGGGCCTCGCTGTCCTGTCTATCGTGACCAATTCCAAATACCCTATACACCTTTCATCACCTTTCAACTCTTTTTTTTTTTTTTTTCCAACCCTTTGTTGTCAGGAGATCGTTGCAAGATCGAGAAACAGAAAGTTCGTTATGGTGAAACATTCAGAAGTTCTGTTACAATGCCGAGCCTGCAAAATGTGATTGTATTTCAGATTCTTATAAATGGACTATTGACATGATTTTGTTTTCATACCCCTTTGTTTTCCTTCATCATAAAGCCTGTTAAAAAGGTTTTTTTTCCCCCCCAAGAATCAACAGTTACAACATCCATTAGTCTCTTTAAAACACCTTTACATTCTTTGGGCTGGGTATCAGTGACTCAAACTAAAACATCTCATAATGAACCCCTTCAGAGTGATGCCTTCAACACAAACTCGTGAAGAGGATCTGAGTATGCGATGTGATGAGGTGGAGGCCACGCTCAAATAGTAAGCCCCTCTACTTTAAAACACATATTTCTATTCCTTACTGCTTAGTCGGACACACGGCCGGTCTACTTTATGAACTGTTCTCTGAGGGTTTGTGATAAGGTGTGCAGTCTGTCATTGTAAAACAATAACACTGCCCATATTCTCTATAACCAGTCAGGTGACCAACGCTCTGCATTGCCTGACATGGACTCTCTCTTTTTTTTTTCCAGTCACACTTCTTGTTTCCATATGAAAATATACTGGGTTACAGTGACGGTTAACATGCATACAAACGCTTTCTCTCACACACAAACATGTATTCAAGTTGAGCTGTCCCACACACACAGGGCCTGCAGAATACTGAGCCCAACTGGAGAGGAAGTTTCTTGAATATTACAATTATTTCTTTATACTGCAACGCAAGAACTGATTGGCTATCGCCAGGGGAAACCAATAATGACCCCCGAGTGATACAAGAAGTCGGAGACGCTATATCCACACACACACACATACACACATGCGCCCTCACACACACACACACACACACACATGCTCACACTCAGTCTTTACTATACTCTGAGACAGGACAAACACATTCTAAAAGCTCCTTTGCCAAGCATGACACTTCCTCCAATCCAAGGCTTTTCTGTTTGATATGGCTTTCATCTGTAGTAGAGGGGCTGAACCCGTTTCCATTTTCAAACGGACCCGGACGCAGCCCCGGTTTTAACTGCTGTACGAGAACTGAGAGATGGAGGGGTGGTGGGGGACTGAACTGCATGAGGGTTTCTGAGGCGGAGGAATAGTAAGGAGGATGAAACGCCGATGCTGCAGAGATAAGCGAGGCAGTAGAAATGCTGGTACATGACGTCTTCAAAATCGTGGTGATTTCTCCATAACAGCTATACTGTTACTGTGGAGACTTCTCCCTCCACACTCTCTTGATAAGGAAACAACAAGAAAAAGCTTTTCTTTTTTTTCCTTTTTTAGAAACTGGGTCAAATTCGATTAAATCAACACACCACCCCTTTGCGTCACGTTTTCCTCCGGTCTCTGCAGCATCACCGTTTAATCCTTCCTGGTCTGGTTCCAGACTGAGGCAGAAGCGAATAACTTTCCCACATTCCTGAGAATACAAGTACCATCCAGCAACTTCAAACCCTTACTAAGTCATTTATTATAAGACACAAGGGGCAACAAGCACGCACACACGCACGCACACACACACACACACACACACACACACACACACACACACACACACAGTCACTCACACCAACCACGGACACTCATGCACGCAAAGATTGTATTCCCAAAAACACACACTAGCTCACAGAATCACACCACAGATTACAAACAACTAGGTCTTGACAGTGATTTACTGTACACAACCACATCAAGTGCTAAAGTTTCAGGAGGTTGAGGATATACTGTTTGTTACGTATAGGGCTCTCTGACTGTTTTAAAAAATAATCCCTACTATATACACACGCATGGACTTTTATACGGGGTAATATCTTGTTGGAAAATATATCGACGCCTTTGAATAGTTTGCTCAAAATAATAAGAAAAACAAAACAAAAAAACTGCCAATGTTATTGGCACTTGGAATCACTTAAACCCGTTACACGTCCAGTGATCGTCCCGTGAATGGTTCAGTTAAACTGTAATGTAGATTTTTCTTGCCAAACAATAAAATGTTTTCTTACAAAGTTTAAAAAGAGCCATTTCTGTCTCAGAGACAGTCCTCTTTGTCCTCTTTGTTTAAAAACACAACTTCCACAAAAAAAAAAAAAAACCCAAGCCCAACCTTTTTTTTTTTTTAAAACAAACCGACAGAACTTTAAAGCCTTACTCTGGACTTCTTTTTTTTTTTTAAGAGAAGAGAGGGGGCAGGGCGGGGCGGGAGGGGGGGAGGGGTTTCTGAGAGAGCACGTCACTGCTCCGTCTTTGACCAGAAAACACTTGAACAAAGTAAAAATTCAATTTTTCAAAAGCGACTAATAAAAGCTTACACAGTTATTCTTTCCATGCAATCATATAAAATACTACATTTCTGTTTCCTGTTAGGCTATATTGGATATTTACACGTTTGTTGTTGTTGTTGTTTTTTTATCATACAGTAAATCTGTACAAGTTCAGTCCTCTTTGACACACCTAAAAAAAAAAAAAAAAAAAAAAAAGTCTGCCGTTACCGTGGCAATAAGTGTGTTCTTCCCTTACAGTCCCGCCTCTGGTGAGGGAAAAAGGGGGTTTTTTATCCATCCTGTTGCCATGGTGACAATCCTTGGTGAGTTCCTTACAGACTCACAGGCTTTCCTCTTTCCTATGATTCACTTCTTTTCAGATGAAGGAAGGGAGGGCAGCGATTTTTCCGGGGGGGAAAAGGGAACGTTTGTTTCCAGCCACAAGACCAGAAAAAAAACAAAAAAAAACACATATGCAGCAATCTGTTAAAAGAGTTTCAGTTCCCCCGTGTCTCTACTTCCAGAAATCTTCCTCCAGGCTTTACTGCGGTTGGCTGCTGACACTGTCAGTCCTGTGCGACGACGGGGCTTTCTGCTGTTTCTGGGGCTGTGGTTTCAGCTGCTGCTGGTGCCTCTGGTGGTGAGATTGTTGCCGCTGCTGCTGCTGCTGCTGTTGCTGTTGTTGTTGTTGTTGTTGTTGTTGCTGCTGCTGCTGCTGTGGTTGCTGTTGATGGGTCGCCTGGGTGAAGGTCCCCTGTTGCTGGAGTGGGAAAGCTGCCTGCAGAATCAGCTGGGTAGACTGGTTACTATGGAGGAGACGAGTGCCCTGACAAAAAAACCAGTGACAGATCATTACAATATGAAGTCTTTCTTTTTATTCTTTATGGTAATAAAAAACAATCTTCTTACACACTAACATTAAAATGCATAAACATTTTAATCTCCTGATAATGACCTGCATGATAGAGACTCTTACAGA